ATTTCAAAAATCGTTCTTGTGAAAATCTGTATTTTTGTATAAATTGATTGTTCCTTAAAATTCAGAAGTGCCAGGAAAACGCGTGACCTTGAAAATTTTAAAATTTTTCGCCTGCGGCGCCATTCAGAGACTTCGGGCACTTAATATCCCGGAATTCAATTCAACAAATGTAACAAACCCTAAGCAGAACACATTCAATCAATGTTCATGCGCCGCCACTGCTTCTAATATTACTGAAAATATCATTGATTTTAATGTTAATGCTGCTACAAGACATGTACGCGAAAGTCTAGGGTGCAAACTGAATTGAACTCGATTTCTCTTCATTTAACAATAAATATTAACAATTAATGAATAAGAGCGTAAGCATTATTGTTAATTTGGAAATTTTTTGTACAAATTGGAGGTACAAAAAGAAAATCATTAGACATTAAATTACATTACAATTTTGATCATCAATATGTACTAATAAACTATAATCTTTATTAATTTATTCTTACTGAATTGTAATCACGTGATGTTATTGAATTTAAAACTTTCTTAATGCGATGTATATTCCTCGTTAACCAAAATTAAGGCATTCCTTGATCCATCTGACACAAAGTGGTTAAAATTTTAATTTCTTAAAAACACATTATTAATTAATATTCGAAGTGTAGTAGTAACCCGTTTCAAAAATTAAAAAAAAAACCGCACGATTTACTTATTCGAATAAGAAGAAGAAGAGGAGATCTGGAGTAAAGTGTTCAGTGTTCTTAGTTCTTACGTCTCTCTTTATCTTAGGTATTGCTTATGGTTAGAAAAGGAAAAAGGAAGAGGTTAGGTATTAGGCAATTTTTCGCGAGTGAAGTTGTATGTTGTGGTATGTGTAGTATGAGTGAGTGAAGAGATTTAAACTACCATATGACAATTAAGATCAAGAGATAGAAATAGTGACTACAAGTCAGATATTCACCAATATTCAGTCGCAAAAAAAAGCATTGCATATTATGTGCGAAAAAGAAGCGTTGTTTAAGATTTATGCCTTTATAGAAAAAAATAAAGTTTTAGAGAAAAATATAGTGTGCCTTCCTGAAACAGCCACCCAGATAGAGCTCCCTACAGAAGTAAATTAATTTATTACATTTTATTCCCAATTTTTGTTTCTGGTTCAGTAAAGCTTTTTTAAAGTCTTACTTTTTTAAAATATGCTTGTAAAGTTCTTTTAACGCAATTAGTTTGCCTAAGTCTGTACCAAAGTTTACAATTTTTAAAACATTCATATGTATTCAATTTTAGACATGGTTGTCTCTGCACGTATGTAGACTTTCATTCATAAGTTCGCTGAATTTGTTTTACCGATTGCCCTGACCAGCATCTCTCGCATACGTCAGAGTAATTAATCTCTCTTTCTAGGCAGTCTACAGATTATGGTCTATGATTTTGTGAACCGGTTGTGAGGTTATATATGTTTGTTTACATATTCTCAATAATGTCATCAAATTGCTGTTTGCATTATAAAGAACACGAAACGACATGGAGAACTTTGAGAAGACATGTAGGCTTTGCCTCAACATCATAAGTGATACCAGTTTCAAAATAATTCAAGGAATTATTATAGAAGTCCTGGACGTCCTTTTACTGAAGCTAGTAGGAAAATTTATATAACAAAAACCATTATTGGATATTGGACCTTCTATATAATTCCTTTATCGCTATTATTTCAGAGTACTAACAAAAATAAATCTGTAATATGTAACGGCTGTTCTATAAAATTATTTGTGGCGTTTAACTTCAAGGCAACCTGCATGGATACCGAGGACTGTATCTTTCCTTACATTAATTCCGAAATGGGAGCACCGATTGACTTAAAAGAAATTTATCTAAAGGAAAGAGGTAAAGAACATTTTAGAAATATATTAGAAGACGAGAGGATTTGTCGACTGTGCATGCAGGTAGTCACATGTGGGTTTACATGGGTAAGAGAAGTGGATGTTGATATGTTTCTCAAATATACTCCAGAAGTAGTAAGTAGATTCAGTGTTTGATTTTAGAGACAAATTTTTATTCAAATGTATATTAGAAAATAATGATTGTAGTTGACAGCTTCTTTGTTGTAGAACTTCAATTCCACCAAAGAACCCGTTATATGCAATATTTGTTTCGATTTATTGAACACCCACACGAGTTTTTTAAAAAACTGTTTAGATGTGAACGAGAAAATAACAAGTATGTGTGAAGATAAAGCTGCAGAGAGCCCGTCGTGTATTAAATGTGAAGATGTAGAAATAAAATCTGAAGGAAATGACGACGATAGGTAAGTTTTAAGGGATTTTGGACACTTTGAGGAATACAGGGTGTTTCGCATAAGAACCGACACAGACTACATGCACACAACTTACCTTTATACTACGCTGCACCCCTGAGAAGTTATAGACTTTGAAAGGGGGGTTTCAATTTTCGAAAAAAATCAATCTCATACTTGAAATTAGAAAAACCAAATTTGGTTAACTGTATATTTTATTTTTTCACTAATAACATTTCTGGCATCTCTCTCAGTCTAGTTCTTCTCGGTTACCAATTCTGAAACAAAAATATATTTTTGCATTTTCTTTTTGCTGGACTGTATGTCAATATGTGAAAAAAATTTGAACTAATAATATTCATAAGAACCCCTTTAGATAAAACGGTAAGACTGAAACAATTATTACAATTAGCATTTAAAAAGAACAGGCTGACAATAAAACGCTGACAATTTATTATATAAATAGGTTTTTTCTTTTCCACATATTGACCTATAATCTAGGTAACTTTTTCAAAACTGACAATGGTTCCACTTTGGTTTTAACTTTTTGATATCATTACTATTTTCAATTGAACATGCTTCTTTAACTTTTAGTAGAAAATGTTTTGCTATTTTCTCCACAACAATAAACGTTAGAAGTGTAAAAAATGAAAACAAGAAGTGATTGGCCCAAGCTCATTTTATAACTAAAGCCAGTAACTGTATTCTATATACCTGAGGATTGACTAAGATCTCAGCAAATAACGTATCAATCTCAGTGTCACTAGGACTATAAGGTATTTCTGGGTTTTATAAGAGATAGTTCTAGGACGGAATTTTGCAAAGATTTAGGCTTAGTGACACTTCCATTAGATGAGTTATTTTCCAACGAATTTTATGAAGGTAGTTTTGTTGTAACTTCATTAATCTCTATGAAACTGCCAATACATACCACATTTTATTTCGTTTTCTTGTCATTTCGTTAAAATAAAAAAATAATAGTACAACCCTAAATAAAACTTACTTTGTAGTTTAAATGGTCTCCTTTCTTCTTTCTGCGATTTTGTCACAGCTTCTAATCAATCTTAAGCATACCAAACACCGCAAAGCATTAAACCTGCTTTGTGCAAAATACAAAACACTTTAATAATAATAATTCATTGTTTATGCAGCACTTATTAGGTATTGTAAATTGATTGAATTATACTCGCCGGTACAGATTATAATGTATTGGACAATAACAATGTTAACGTAACATTGCTAACCAACTGAATTACCAACTACAAATACAAAACATACGACAGGTACTACCAACATTAACAACATAATATTTTGATTAATTTTCAACTTTTTGCTTAAAATTGGAATAAGCGCAAATTCGATTTAATATAGTGCCCCAAATTGTTAAATTAGAATAGGTATTCAGTTTTATTGACTATTAAATAAAAATTACAGTTTTTTAAAACTACGTATATCCTATTGAGAATGTATTAGGAATATCATTTGAAGAATATTCTTGAGATATTATTATTAGCATATCTATGGAGAATATCATACGTATATTTAAAAAGGGATCTTCTACGAATATTTTATAAGCATATTAATATTCTATGAATATTCTAGGTTTATTCAGAATATATATAATCTTTTTAAAAGGTTTAGAGAATATTCTCAGAATATATGGTGCTGTCTGGGAATCTGTTTACTCACCTCTAATTTTTGCAACATATGACATAGGTACCTGAAATTTTGTGGCTAATCTTCGATTAGTGGTACCAGGATCCTTTTCTAAGGCACTTTACGAACACCTTCTCTTAAACTGATAAAGTGGAAAAATAAAATAAAAATGTAACCAAATATAAATGATTACGTATTCAGCCATTCCCGTTTCGCCTAATTAACGTCATATCATATGAGAAAAGAATGGAAACGTACCGTATTTCTGTACCTACATACCTGTAGTGGCAGCTATTAACTTCCATACCAGGGAGGGTGAAAATATTTAGGTATACAAAGTATTGAAAACAAGATCAAATATAATTGGGCAGTTCTATTTTAAGTACCTACTATTGAAATATAGGGAAAATGTGCTCAACATTATTTTTTATAGTAAGAATTGATTCTTCTGCTTTTGTCCGAAATAAACTTTTCTCGCACCACTGATTGTTCAGTAGATAGCATTGCAACTGCTGTTAGTCTGTCTTTACAATCTAATTTTAAACTTTTACGATCTTTAAAAATACAAAAAACAATATGTAGGTAACAATAAAATTTTAAACCACACCTGAGCAAATTACGGTTAATAAGAAAGCAGTGAATAGCTACTATTTGATTACGGGCGAACTAAACAGATCCCAAACTGCATAGTAAATATGCGCTACTCCCACTTTCACTGTTAACGACGATAACCATGACCGCCGCTCTAAACACTACAGATTTAGGGACGAGCTACGAGGAACCCACTTATTTAGTGTTTTTCAAATGAATTTTATCGTATTAAACACATTACAAAATTTAACATTTAATTTTTAACGTGTTTCTTAAGACTAACCTAATTTACAATGTCATCTAGATAATTAAATAATTATTATAATTAAATTTTAAATTCAATTTTTTGGCTATGAAAACATCCGCGATTTTTCCAAATAATAAATGTTGTTTTTGAGCGGATTGACGAACGTGTTTGAAACATAGGCGATTTTGAAAATTTTTCTCCCACATTCTTAATTTGTAATTCTGATTTAATGTTTGTCCAAATTTTGTTTTACACAGGTACCTACGGATGTAGCCTTTTTTCCTGTATAAATATTCCCTCACGGAGATAATAACCAAATTCTCTCATGTGAATGTGTTTTTATATAGACAACTCAGTTATCGAAAATGACGACGATGGCAACAAATTTGCTTCCGCCTGTTCTATCGCTGCGAATGTACCTACGTATGTACATATCGCACACGTTCTGTATGTTTACATTCGTGAGTTATATCAAATAACTTGTAGTAAGTACCATTAACATTTATGAAAAATTGAAATAAATAGGTCTTGTGCTGTATATTTTAAAGCATTTTATATTTATCACCCAGCATACCTTCATACTTAGTTACAATGATATCTCCCAAGAAAACATAGGTACATAATTAATTTTTATCATGATACGTGGTTAACTTGATCACTGAATTATATGGAAAACAATAAGGAAGCATTAGACATATAATATTTTACTGTTCGACACTACCAACTGTAGGTGGTTTATTTTCAATGATATTCTATATGGATTTTTATTGAAAACAGTTCTTAAAAGATAATAAAATGACACTAATTTGTCACCATCATGGAAAAGAATTATACAATTAATTACATTACTGTATTTAAAATGTTAAAAAATTTAACTTTACTACGGTTTTTTTAATATGTTCACTTTCTATTTTGCTATAGGCTACACATAATTTTCGCTCTAGCCTGGCCATCCATCCTGAGGAGCTCTGCTATATTCTGGTTATTATATTACCATTGTTGATTTTTTCTTAAAGGTAGTAGGCAAGCCTGTAATTTGTAAATTTAGTTTTGCTTTTGCTTTACCCTTGGTCTGCTGATCTGACTCTGTTCTGCTTTATCTCGTCACAAAACACATTACTGCCTAATACCATACTGCCTGCCGTTCTAACGTTTCTTTCGGGAGCTTAATTTTAGCGCCAGCTAGATCTTGCACATGGGGAATAACGTTTAATAATAATAACCATATTCTTGAAATGCAATGTTTCTACTCTGAACATATCGTGTCTTCACCGTAGCTACCGGAATAGTGGTGTTTTTGCACTACAAACACAAACTGCAACCCCGAGACAACCGTCGCCATAAACACCGCCGTCGTTCAGCTACTCAGCCACACTTCCCGCAGGACAAAACGTCACAACATCTCAAAACTATTTATAACAGTTATTGGAGACGATTCGAGCCGGACAAATGTTGTTTAAACTTTTTTAAGTTGAAATTTCAACTTGACAATTAAATTTTGGTAGGACGTAATGTTTTAAGGTCATAAAATGGTGGTTTTGAAAGATCTATTTCAAGGTTATCTGGGTCGTCTGTGACGTAATGTTTCAAAGTCATGAAAATGTGGTCTTGAGAAAACAAACAAAACAAGCTCAATTTTTAGCGGGAAGAACAACAATTCCTATGATACACGACATAGGGAAATTCCAAAAATAGAGATCAAATCAGAAATTTAGTAAATTTATTAGCAAACATAACAATGATTGACGTAGATGTTATCCGATTTATAACATCAATGACGTCACTCATCAGTTACGAGGAAATGGTGCGAAAGGTATCAGCAGTTTGTAAACAACCTATACCTACATTAGCGGTCTTGACGTTCGTCGACCTGTCAAATAAATATCCGTCATTCTTGGCCCTTTAAAGCCGCCTAACAAAAAAGTTGACGAATAATTATCAAGTACGTTATTCGATGCGGTAATTCAAAATAAAATATTTTGTACCCTTTTCCGCATAAAATAATCGAAAATGAAACATGATTTAACAAATGTTAGACATTTTACGCAAATCGGTTTACAGAAAGTGTGATTGCTTGAAAAATTAATCCACTCTGTATGGAAATAATTGGAAACACATTTGAAATGTATGTATTTCATTTGAGAATATCTGTTCTCAACACGGTGAGGAAAATGTTGGTACATATAAGTTACTATCCGTCTTCAAACATTTTAGTAGCTGATTTTGGACCGACCACGTCGGTAAAAGTGATTTAGGGAGAGAAGTAAAATATTTGTTGGTGTTATGATATTCGAGCGTGTATTTACGTGCATTTTAATTTTATATCCTACTGTTTGGGGTGCATCGGACAAACCCCACATAGTAATGATTCTTGGAGATGATATTGTAAGTAGGTACATTAAAATCAGAAAAATGACCATATTCGTGAAAATTCATATTTCTTCAATAAAATTTTTTATGAAGTTTGGATAGAGCACTCTAGTAAACTTTCTTATTGTTGATTTTTCGAGAAAAATTTAATTTTTAATTTTAATTTAAAAATGTTTCTTAGAATACCATGAACCAATATTTTGATCATCATCACATTGCGCACATTTGGAACTCTGTTGAATCAATATTATAGAGTATTATGAAAAAATAAAGCTGTAGGCTATTAAATTAGGTCTTTATGCAATAGGAAAATGTCTCAAGCTTGAATTTTTTACTTTTATGATGACAAAATCTGCTCGCTAAGAAGACATGTTTACCAAATTTCTGCATAAAATTTCCTAATTTATAGAGACAAAAAAAATTATATGATTTATTGTCGATGTCGTCGACCTTCTCACTTAATTACAAAAAATTTCAACATTTATTAAAACTATTAAAATTTCTGTAGATTTTGTAAATATAATATTATCATATACCATTAATCTGAAGACAGAATATAAAATTTTAAAAATAAAATCCATCTAATGTTTGACCTTATCATTTCAGGAGTTGCCATAATGAAATATCGGGAAATATTTAAAAAATATTATTCCAATTGTATTAGTAGGCCATAGTTTAAGATTCCTTAAATAGTTTTGGGTTTAAAAGAAAATAATTTTTTAAAACAACCGTCATTTTTTTAAAATTTTTTGGTAGCCAAAAGCAATAGGTTTGCTATACATTTTTGTTGACATAAATTTAGAGAAAATGTATACATTTTATAAACGTCACTATATTTACTGTAAAAAGTTATATCTATGTATATATTGCATGTCGGTAAAATGTATCGTGCGTTGGGCGCATTTTAGCCTCATTTTTTTTTTTTGTTTTATTGACTACTCCCATACCTTATTAGTCTCTAAGGAAAATAAAGGTTATTTATTTATGTATTTATTTATTTATTAAACTTCATTCTGTATTGAAATAAAAAAATTGCTGCTGACACAAGACTATATAGTAAGTAAGTAAACATTTATTTCCTTCAGATACAGCAAATTATAATTATTTTACATTTTTGTAGTATTACTACATTTTATATACGTAACAGCAAACCTAATTAAAGGTGTAAGGAAAGTATTTCGTTGTCAACAACCCCAATAATTATTACTATAATTATGACCTTGCTTAATTACATCCAATAAATATACAGCTGACTAGGATAAAAAAATTAATACTTGAAAAAACAACATATTTAAATCCGAAAACATTTGATAGTAAATTTAATCACACACATAAACTAAGTACGTTTAAACTATTTTTTGTTTCGCAGGACGTGATAAACCGCTCTACTATCTCATACTTAAAAAATATTCATTTAAAGAATAGAATTCATAATTTTTTAAAAATATTTTCAATTTACGTTTAAATGCCTTGTAATTTAATGATTTCAGATAAGACGGTAATGTATTATAAATTTTAATACCAGTGTACAATGCACCATTACGCGTTGTAGTATAATTATATTTTGGTAATACGAGATTTTGCCGTCTTACAGGGTAACCATGGAAGTCACTTGGTGTGTTTATTAAATGTTTGTTTTTATGAATTAAAATAGCTACTCTGTAGATATATAAGTTAGCTAGAGTAAATATTCCTATTTTTTTAAAATAACCTCGGCATGACTCCCTGCAAGACAATTCACACAAAATTCGAATAGCTTTTTTTTGTATCATAAATATATCTATGAAACCAGTAGACCCCCCCACAATTCTACTCCATATTGCAGTAAACTTTGGAAGTAAGCAAAATATACAATTCTTGCTGTACAATAATCAACATTTCTTTTTATGGTTATTATTGCATAAATGGCTTTTCCTAACTTATTTTTTAAATTAGAAGTATGCTCGGTCCAGTTTAGTTGAGAGTCTATATAAATTCCCAGAAATTTCGTTGAATTTACCGGTTGGATTTGATCATCGTTTAATTTTAGAATAATGTCTGTCGTTCCGCGTAGTTGAAATGTTATGTTGTTAGTTTTACTGCAATTTAAAACCAACTTGTTGGCGAGAAACCAATCAGAAATACTTTCTAATATATTATGAGTTTTTTGAATTAAATTATTTCTGTTAGTCTCCCGTATCAACAAGCTGGTATCGTCAGCAAATAACGAAAATGTTACGTTTGGGAAATTAGGAACAATATCATTAACATACAATAAAAACAAAAGTGGTCCTAAAATAGATCCTTGCGGCACGCCGCTTTGAACTNCTCTTAATTGATAGACTGCTGTCACTAGTGTCACTACTGTCACTTTTGTTTAAAAAACAGGAAACAGGGTAACAGGGTTTGATGGACAATTTTGATATATTTTCTTCTTCTTCAAAATTATGCAATAGGATCGCTACTAGCTTCTTGTTCAATTGCCCCTTATGACGTCAGTCTAGTTTTTAAGTAACACAAAAATTCATAAATGATTTCTACCACTAATTTGTCATATATTTAAAATTTAACTATACAGGCAGGTTCTTTTATATAAAATCTTTGTATCAACAGCAATTTGTATATGGTTTGTTTTTATAGTCAACAACCCTATTGTGACCTCTTTCAGGCATTTCTGCCTTTTATCCAATTCCAAGAAACACTCTATAAATTCATTACTTCGAAAATCAGTGACTTTTGGACAAAAATCTAGAAACAGGTTAATTTTTATTTTTAAAAGATCGTTTTGCGAGATGTGGATGTTTTTAATGAAAGGTTTTGTAATTCTGTATTCAACTGTATTAATAAGTTTAGGTAATAAAATTTTGTATAGTGCCAAAGATAAAATTCCAAAATTACAACAAAATTTATATTTAACAACCCAATTTACAATAAATTTTGAAATTAACGGCCCTCAGTTATAATATACAGTGACATACCTACAATGAGATACAAAAGTACGAGCTGTAAACTCTTCTCGAACATATAGATTTTGTGGTCTATTTGGTTGAAAAAAGTAGAGGGGGTGGATTAGAACTCTCCAAGTTACCCTACTTATATCAGTTGAAATATTTTGTGTCGGAATTTTTTTTAATTTTTCAAATTATCTCCAAAATTAAATTTTGCCTTTTCATTTAAGGGATGGAACGATTTTGGATTTCATGGATCTAACCAAATTCCCACACCAAATATTGACGCCTTAGGATACAATGGTGTCATTTTGGACAAGTTTTACACTCAACAAACATGTACACCGTCCAGAGCAGCCCTATTAACAGGGAACTATCCTATAAGATCAGGTAAAATTGTGTCACTTTCACATATCTNTATACCAGCATACAAGGCAAAATTATAATTATCTTGTAATATAGGTATACCTATCGGTTATTTCTAAAATACGATGCTTCTAAAATACCGAAACAAAAAATGTGAAACGACTGTCAAAAACACATCTTTTAGACAAATTCGAAGATGTCTTACAGGATTGAAATACAACCCGTTATACAAGTCTTTAAACAATCGAATGCAAGTCTCACGGGAGAATTTTTTCCAGTACAGTTGTTTAAGTTAACTTTAGTTTATAAAAGATATTAGATTGGCAAAATAATATATTTTTCTCCGTACAGGGTGATTCACTATATTTTGACCCCCCATTAACTATTTTGTTTTTAGAGATGATTTTTTCAAAAATGATAGAATGCGGATGTTAGCATTGTTAATTTAAATGGAACACCCTGTATATTTTTACATACTGGGATAGAACGTTCCCTGTTGAGCACAGTCATACAGGGTTTGTTGAGTCCATCTCTAACAATAAGCGAGATACTATTAAAAAACCAAAAGAAGGTTTTTTTTATTAAGAAAATAAGACACCTTGTAATTGTGACCTCTTTCAGGAATTTCTGCCTTTTATCCAATTCCAAGAAACACTCTATAAATTCATTACTTCGAAAATCAGTGACTTTTGGACAAAAATCTAGAAACAGGTCAATTTTTATTTTTAAAAGAGAGATGTGGATGTTTTTAATGAAAGGTTTTGTAATTCTGTATTCAACCGTATTAATAAGTTTAGGTAATAAAATTTTGTATAGTGTCAAAGAGAAAATTTCCAAATTACAACAAAAAATGTATATTTAACAACCCAATTTACAATAAATTTTGAAATTAATGGCCCTCAGTTATAATATACAGTGACATACCTACAGTGAGATACAAAAGTACGAGCAGTAAACTCTTCTCGAACATCTAGATTTTGTGGTCTATTTTGTTGAAAAAAGTGGAAGGGGTAGATTAGAACTCTCCGAGTTACCCTACTTATATCAGTTGAAATATTTTGTGTCGGAATTAACATATTTAAATTTTCCCTTTTCATTCAAGGGATGGAACGATTTTGGATTTCATGGGTCTAACCAAATTCCCACACCAAATATCGACGCCTTGGGATACAATGGTGTCATTTTGGACAAGTTTTACACTCAACAAACATGCACACCGTCCAGAGCAGCCCTATTAACAGGGAACTACCCCATAAGATCAGGTAAAACTGTATCACTTTCACATATCTAAGTATATCTAATTAAAATTCTTGCAGGTTTACAAGGAATACCTTTACAAGCTGGAGAGAACAGATATGTGCCACTTAACATGACTGTTCTTCCTGAAAGATTACAGGAATTAGGGTATCGCACACATTTGGTTGGAAAATGGCATTTAGGTCACGCCTATGAAAAAGTAACGCCGGTAGGCAGAGGCTTCGACACACATTTCGGCTATTGGAGCGGCTTCATCGGTTACTTTGATTACACACTTGGAGCACAACTAGCGGATGGTGTTACAGTAAGAAAAATTCTATACCATACAACACACATTTACGTGCGTGTAAAAATAATTAATTTTCATTTTTAAGACGTACTTTGGATACGACTTGCACTACAATTTGACAGCGCAATATCAATTCAAGGGGCAATATTCCACAGAACTGTTTTCAAATAAGTCTCTGGAAATAATTGACAACCACGACGAAAAAGAACCTTTATTTTTGATGGTGTCACATCTTGCTGCACACACGGGAAGGGGAACGGAGCTGGGAGTTCCGAATATTACGAAGACCAATGAAACTTATGATTATATCGAGCTTGAGGAGAGAAGAAGATATGCAGGTAATAGCAGTGAAAAAACGTTTATATTTTAACATGACATATACAACAGTAGTTCACTTGTAACGATTTATAACAGAATTTGATTAACAAGTAGTACTGTTATGGCATGTTAACTACGAGGCATATCCACAACTGAGACTGATGATCTATGGTTTCTTCAAGTGGTGAGAGCAGAACGCGGGTTCAATTGTTTCAGCCAGTTGAGAGCTGTTATTGTAAATGAGTGCCGCTATTGCAAATCCCGCCAGCTGCTATGTGGAAAAATAATAATGACTGAAACCGCATCTTTCTATCTGTTACCGTTTTCGCGTTACAGGCCGTTTCCCGATTTTTGGCTACACCAACTGGTGTCCTTTTCTCATTTCCTTTTCAAGATATGTTAAAACGGTTTGAACATTCAACAGGCACTTTTTTGAGGTACATTCGATGGCATAAAAATAAATGTGATATTATTTTTAGTTTTGTGAAATCACAACTTGTGTTTTTTTAATATGTATTTTATTTCGAAAACCGAAAGAGGTCTAAAAATGCATTCCAAAAATATATACTTTACTTTTTTATGTAGATTTGCGGAAAATATAAAATTTTTGAAAATATCAACGACACCTGACGAAAGGGCTTTGAAAACAAACAAGTTTAATGTTTAACATTATTACAGGCATGTTAACATACATCATAAATGGTTCTTTACCCAAATAAAGACAAATACAATTTAATAAAATGTTGTAACGTCAAACTTGTTGTTTTCAAGGCCTTCTCAGTCAGAAAATTTAAAAATCGTTAGTATTTTGAAAATTTTATATTTTCCGCAAATCTACACAAAAAATAATAAGTATATAACGAGCGTTCAAATAAAAACGTGGTCAAGTTAGTTCTGAAAATTTGGACGTAGGGCGTAGCGTATAGCAAATGAACTTAAACGTCATCTGTCAAAGCGCTATATCGCCGCTATCAATTTGAATATTTTCGTTTTAAAAAGCGTTTAAAATGGTGTTTTCTCAAGAACAAAAAGTGTTTATCATAGAGTCCTACTTTAGAAATGGACGCAAGATTGATGGAATATGGAAGTATTCTATTGAGGAATGTTTCATAGAATTTCAAAATCAATTTCCCGGCGTTGTTGAGTACAAAATTTTTCAAAGTGCAGTTCAGCGTTGTGTTAATGTTTTTCGTGAAACGGGCAGTGTAACAAGAAAAGAAGGAAGCGGCCGACCTAAAAAGCGGACTGAAGAATTAAAAGAAAATGTCCAACAAATAATGGAAAATGCGCCAAGAACTTCTGTACGTGTTTTATCACAAATGGTGGGAGTATCAGTCGGTACCTGCCACACAGTGTTAAAAAAAGATTTGCGTTTGTTCTCCTATCGTTTAACTTGTCAGCAAGAACTTCATGAAGTTGATTTTCCGCGACGGGCTGTATTTTGTGAATGGTTTTTAAACAACTACGGTGAACTTCATAATATCACCTTTTTTTCTGATGAAGCCTGGTTTCATTTAAGTGGTTACGTAAACTCACAGAATATGAGAATGTGGTCTTCTGAAAAACCAGATAACTTTTTTGTCGAGGGCCCTCTACACGCTCAAAAAATTGGAGTTTGGTGTGCTCTCAATCGAAGGAGGATTTATGGACCTATTTTTTTTAATGGTACTCTTACTGCGCAAAGGTATAGAGAAGAAATTATCGCTCCTTTTGTTAACCAGCTGGAAGAAAACGAAATTACAAACTTTTACTTTCAACAAGATGGCGCAAGGGCACATACGGCAGGCGAGACGATGAATATGTTGAGGGAAGTTTTCCAAAATCGACTAATAAGTCTCAATGCTGAACATGAATTTCCACCGAGGTCATGTGATATTACGCCGTGTGATTTCTTTTTGTGGCCTTACCTTAAAAACACTATTTTTGAACTGCCTATTCCTGATTTAAACCATCTGCAGGCTCGACTTATAGACAAGATTCGTGAAATTAACAATACCCCGAGCATCTTAGAAAATGTCTTTAATTCTTTGAGGAACAGGTGTGAAAAGTGCTTGGAACAAGGAGGGGGACACTTTCAGCAGCTGCTTTAATTTATTGTTATAACAAGGAGGGGGACACTTTCCGCAGCTCCTTTAATTGTTTGTTATTGTTATCACGATTATTCTTTAAAATAAAGTTATATAGTCATTAACGTTATTGAAACTGACAGCTGCTATACAGCTCGTTGAGAAATGAGGTTAAGTTGGTCGCTATAAGCTACTCCCTACGTCCAATGTGTCAGAGCCAACTTCGACCACGTTTTTATTTGAACGCTCGTTACTTTTAGAATGCATTTTAGCCCTCTTTCCGTTTTTGAAATAAAATACAGGATGTTCTATATAAAAAAACACAAGTTGTGGTCACACACACAAATCACATTTATTTTACTGCCATCTAATGTATCTCCGTTTTAAGATATCTTGAAAGGGAAACGAGAAAAAGGCACCAGTCGGTTTAGCTAAAAATCGATAAACACCCTGTATCTCGAAAATCGTAACAGATAGAGAGATGCAGTTTGTGCCATGGTTGTTTTCTCGAAAAAAGAGCTCCGGACTCGTCTATCAGATTTGCTCTATCTATGACAGATTCGCAGTAACCCTTAAAAACCGACCAATTTGAACCACCACACATCAGCTCGAGTTGCGCATGACGTCAGTACAAACCTGCGGACTTTCATTTTCATATGAGGCAAAAAGTCCAAGTAAACATGGGGTCGCAGATGCTTGATTAACGAGACACAAGATTTCTTTAACTAAATTTGCCACGTGTTGTTAGCACCTAAAGGCTAATTAATTGATATACTATACATTTTATGAACATTTTCTACGCCACTACTAATTTTATCAAATGGACCCAATTTCCGTGTAGTTATCTATCAAATTGATCTCTTGGAAAATTTTCATAAAATCAACCATTTTTAAGTAAAACACGTTTGAGATAATTTTCTTAGTCCCATTTTTTTGTATTTATTTTACTTTGTCATAGTGTGCTGATACCAGTGGCGGCGCATGGACATTGATTGAATGTGTTCTGCTTAGGATTGTTATATTTGTTGAATTCAAATCCGGGATATTAAGTGCCCGGAAAGCCTCTAAATGGCGCCGCAGGCGAAAATTTTTAAAATTCTCAAGATCACGCGTTTTCCTGCACTTCTGAATTTCAAGAAACAATCCATTTATACAAAAATACAGACTTTCACAAGAACGATTTTTAAAATTGATACCTACCTTTTTGAAATATCTATTCACGAATTACTTACTGAAGGTATAAATAAACTGGAATAAACTAAATATATTTTATTAAATTATTGAATATTGTTTATAAACAAAAAAATCGTTTGTGAAGTTTACCAACGATTCAACGAATTTTAATTTTCGGCTTGTTCCACTAACTTCAAAATTCATTCTGGGCAACATGCTATGCTAGAATTTTTGAAAAATTAAACACAGTCACCTCACGACCAGAAATTGCGTCCTTAGAGCATGTAGATACTACATGGAAGATGCGCCGCGTGTTAAAAAGAGTAGACGTTGTAGAGAGAGGCCGATGATTTGGGTATTCGCTCTCTCACTCTAATCGTAGAGGAAGACTGAGGAGATCCCGCGCTATGCCCGAGCAACGGCGAGCGTTAGCTAATCACGTGTCTGCACGAGAGAAAAATGTACTCAAACTATATCTTTCTCTGCCACTCGTCTATACTGTTGCCGCAACATACTAGATCAAGTAATCCACCAATATTAGAGTTCTCACTCTGACTTCTTAGCAAGCTTGCAGAAAACCCAATTTTTCTGTAAAATATTGTATTCACTGATGAAGCGTCGTTTACCAGACGAGTAATAGTTAACTTCCACAATAACAATTTATGGAGCGAAGTAAATCCTCATGCCATTCGAGTGACAAGTTTTCAATTAACGTTCAAGCTGGTATAATTGGCGACCAGTTGGCCCTTTCGTGTGGCCAAATAGCCAGTCCTGGTCAGTCCTGCCTTAATTTTTTATGAACAATTTCAATGTGTTATTAAATGACGTACCACTGGATTTGCGGATAAATATTTGGTTTCAGCACGACAGCGCAAAGCACACTTCGCTGGACAAGTTAGAGATTACTCGAATGTAACATATGTTCACCGGCCTTGAACCCTCTTGAGTTCCATACTTGAGGTCATATTAAGGAGCTGGTTTACGCAACCCCCTGTAAACAAAATTGATAAACTATGGCAAAGAATACAAACAGGCCTTTCAAACAGTTCGTAATACATCAGGGATTTTTGAGAGAGAGAAAATCCTTTAGTTCGGAGGGCGTACGTCGAATCAACGGTGGACTCGTTTCCAACGAATTCTTTTTAATATGTCCAAATGTGTAATTTTATTATTCAAAAACTGTTGGTTGTGCCTAAATTTTCCAATAGATCAATTTGATAGATAACCGAACACTACACGGAAATTGTGTCCAATTGACATTAGCAGTGGTGTAGAACATATTTTCAAACAACCCCTGCCGTTACACCACTGTTGTCCGTAAAAAATCGAGTAATACATCAAATAATTGATCGTGTTTAATGTTACTAAGCTTTCCAAGCGCTTGGCTTGCAGCGCTTTAATAGTTCGCTTGCAGCGCATGTGGTAGTCATGGGTAACACCGTGTTGAATGGCGCTTTTGTGTTGACACCACTCTGGGTGTTATGGGTGCTGAAACAGCCCACGTGACACCATGACACTTAATCACACCCAAGATGGCAGAAATTGCGGATTGCGAGTTACTAAACGACGCGCGGTGTCACGAGTCACCATCCTGATTCTCGATGGGATGGGGATTATATTATGATACCGCGTAAGCGCAATTATGGGAGTTAAGGGGCCACAGAGTCCCCGATTTAATCTTTTTTCCAAAACTTATTTATTACGTATATAACACTTGTGAGTAAAACAATTTAATACTCAAAATATACCTGTGTATTTTAATTATTAAAACTCAAGTCATTTAAAATATCTATATATTTACATAAAACGAGTAAAAATAAATCTTTGATAAAAAAAAAAACAAAATCATAACAAAACATACCGCATTTTAAAAAACATAAAACTAAAACTGAAACATTAAAAAAATACTGATCGCTATGGCTTCGTAAATAAAACAAAATAATCAAAAATACATTACAAAAATTGGACTAATTAGAATTATATTGTGAACTTGTGAAGGAACCGGCGTGTCATAACGAGATTGAACGCGGCGCAGACACGCAGTCAGTCGGTATTATTGTGTCAATACATGAAAATTAACAGTGTTACCCATGCCTAGCATGCGGTTCCTTTAAACCGGTTCAAATATCTGTTTGCGCTTGCTCGCGGTTTATTTGTTTGAATTCATAACCACAGATCACGACATAACCTAAGTTGTCATAATGGATCCTCTTATAATGTATATGTTTTGTGAAAATACTAGTAATGTAAATTTGCAAATGCACTTTTACAGTTGCAAGAAAGAAACAGTGATTGTGTAGACTTTTGTAATCAACTTACAGCAAATTTAAAAATTAATACACTACAGCAGTAGAACACTTTGAAGACACTATTAAAAATTTGTTTCTTAAAGCGATGCCGTCTGCCACTACAACCTTGTAAGTCTGGAGTAAGCTTTCAATTTAGATTTCTTCCATTTTTAATTTTTTAATACAAATACAAATTATAAAGTTTTCAAATACTGTAATTTTAACCTAAAATCGAGTTGTCACATTATTCGCGCAAGCGCAAATTAACTTCTTACACCGGCTCACACCATGCAAGCGCAAGCGATAAAGCGAAAATATTTGCGCTTGTTGATTTTTTTAGCTGCTTAATTTCAGCGCAATCGTTTAATAAATGACAGCAGAAAGCAGCTTACATGCGTACGCTTCCGCTTAGTTACATTAAACACGGCCATTGGTCCTTAGTGCTAAATGCACGTGGTAAATTTGAAACAGAAAAAAATAAACTTGAACGCCCTCTATGATAAGGGTGATCAATTTGCATCGGTTATCTATTTCGTCAGTACAAAATGTTCTAAGTAGACACAAACAAATTCAACATTTTAACTTATCCGATTAGTGTAGGTATGTGTATATTTTCGTTTCAGTGTAGAAAAGTAAATAAGTAGTCATACAACACTGTATAAATGGTATAAATTTTTCAGATATAGTTAACATTATGGATGACACAGTGGGCCAAATTGTGAATAAACTAGCAGAAAAAGATATGTTGCAGAATTCCATAATATTGTTTTTCTCTGATAATGGGCCAATGACAACTGGATCAGTTCCAAACCACGGATCTTCTTGGCCGTTCAGAGGAGTAAGTAATAGATAATTCAGATGAACGTCCCAGTGCACATTAAATGTGTACACCACACTGTCGCGTGTTCGACTGGTGCACGCTCTCGACGTCAGTTATAATTTGAACAACGACAGCGGTACACAATTATGGGATCAGTCTATAGGTACCTAGCGGATAATGCGCTCACGACTTTTAAAATCTGTGCCGCTTATTTCCATAAATAATGACATCCAACAAATCTTGCACTTTGACAACACAACGACCCATCAGATTGCACGAAGCCGTTGTCAACAAGTGACCGCCAGTGGCGTGTACTGCGTGAAGGATATATAATAACATATAACAATAAATAATAAAAATGCCTTTAAATTATCAATGGATTTAAAGAGACCAGGTACAATAAAATAGAACGTCGAAAAGGTAATGTTTTTTTATTGAATTATCGAAATATGTATAATTAACAACCATACGGCACGATAATTTATTCTGGACGGTCTACAAACGTCAAAAATTTGTGGGCAAGCGTGGAACCTTACTTTGACTTATCTGAGAGCGTAGCTTATAAAATTAATGCCTAAATCATATTTTTCATATTGATACATATTATAACACATAACTGTGACATAACTGCTAAAACATTTTTTAAATATGTACCGTACAGGGCGATTCACTATATTTTGACCCCCCTTTAACTTTTTTGTTTTGAGAGTTATAAAAAAATGTGAAATATAAAAGTTTTTATGAATTTTTCGAAAATGATAGTAGAAAAACAAATGAAGTCAAAACAATGTGGCCGCGGATGTTAACTTTGTTAAGTTAAATGGAACACCCTGTATATTTTTACATATTTGGATAGAACGTTCCCTGTCGCGCATAGTCATATATGGTTTGTTGGGTCCATCGCTAACAATAAGCGAGATACTATTAAAAAACGGGTTAAAAAGGTTTTTATTAAGAAAATAAGAATCTTGTAATTGTTAAACCTTTTTCAGGCATTTCTGCCTTTTTCCAATTANGAACGTTCCCTGTCGCGCATAGTCATATATGGTTTGTTGGGTCCATCGCTAACAATAAGCGAGATACTATTAAAAAACGGGTTAAAAAGGTTTTTTATTAAGAAAATAAGAATCTTGTAATTGTTAAACCTTTTTCAGGCATTTCTGCCATTTTTCAATTACGTAAGGATTTACAGATTTAGTTATAATATATTTTGACAGATAAGACATTGATATGGTTTAAAATGCGTATAGGTATTTTAACTAAATCTCATTAATTAGGCCGTGAGATGCCTAATTACTCACGGACATAATACATCTTATAATTGTTAGACCTCTTTCAGGCATTTCTGCCTTTTTTCCAATTACGTAAGGATTTACAGATTTAGTTATAATATATTTTGATATATATACTGTCCAAAATGCGTATAGGTAATGTAACGAAATCTCACTAATTAGGCCGTGAGAAGTCTAACTACTNGAACGTTCCCTGTCGCGCATAGTCATATATGGTTTGTTGGGTCCATCGCTAACAATAAGCGAGATACTATTAAAAAACGGGTTAAAAAGGTTTTTATTAAGAAAATAAGAATCTTGTAATTGTTAAACCTTTTTCAGGCATTTCTGCCATTTTCCAATTACGTAAGGATTTACAGATTTAGTTATAATATATTTTGACAGATAATACATTGATATATGGTTTAAAATGCGTATAGGTATTTTAACTAAATCTCACTAATTAGGCCGTGAGTTGCCTAATTACTCACTAATTGTTAGACCTCTTTCAGGCATTTCTGCCTTTTTTCCAATTACGTAAGGATTTACAGATTTAGTTATAATATATTTTGACAGATCACACATTGATCCGGTCCAAAATGCGTAAGTATAGGTAATGTAACGAAATCTCACTAATTAGGCCGTGAGAAGTCTAACGGTGGTAGGCCGTGATCGTGACAGGTAATGTCATGACAACATTGTTATTGTTTGACAGTTTGTATTATTATTTAATTAAAATGGGTTACACAGAAGTAGAAAATTGAAATATTATAGGAATTAAGATAGAGTAGTTAAGATATTCTCCATAGTTTATTTTAATTCCTAATAATATTTCAATTTTCTACTTCTGTGTAACCCATTTTAATTAAATACTAATACAAACTGTCAAACAATAACAATGTTATCATGACATTACTACCTGTCATTGTCACGACCTACCATATATAAGATTGTCCATGAGTAATTGGCCTCACACGGTCTAATTAGTGAGATTTACTTAAAATACCTATACGCATTTTGGACTATATCAATGTCCGATATGTCAAAATATATTACAACTAAATCTAAATCCTTACGTAATTGGAAAAAAGGCAGAAATGCCTGAAAGAGGTCTAACAATTACAAGATGTCTTATTTTCTTAATAAAAAACCTTCTTTTCGTTTTTTAATATTATCTCACTTATTGTTAGAAATGGATCCAACAAACCCTATATGACTATGCTCGACAGGGAACGTTCTATCCAAATATGTAAAAATATACAGGGTGTTCCATTTAACTTAACAAAGTTAACATCCGCGGCCATTTTGTTTGGACTTCATTTGTTTTTCTACTATCATTTTCGAAAAATTCATAAAAAATCGTGCGTTATATTTCACATTTTTTCATAACTCTTAAAACAAAAAAGTTAAAGGGTGGTCGAAATATAGTGAATCACCCTGTACATGTGTTTTAGTTAAAATTCACCCTATTTGAAGGAGGTGTGCGAGGATCGGCTGTATTATACAGTCCATTGTTGGAGAAGAGGGGTTATATCAACAGAGAACTGATACATATTAGTGATTGGCTTCCTACCCTATACCACGCCGCAGGTAATAGCGAGGGAGACGGGCACGGATTTTCACCTTGACTCAGAAGATGAGTCATTTAGAGTTGCTCGGATCCTGTGGCGGATCGTGTCTAGGATCTTGATGGACAGATGTGTGCATCGTGGGGCGAGTTGATGCTTGAAATTCATTTCAGTACACTTTTTTATCTTCGCAATTCAAAATACACGTTGCTTTGGAAATCATTACACTAATACACTTGAGCATCGGTCGCTGTTGTATATTTTTTTATGTGGATAATTTTTGCAAATATAGCTTCATCGCATATTTATCAGCCATTTGCGATTTGACAATTGTTCTTTAAAATCTTTCATTACACAAATTAAAACCTCACATGTATAACAGAGAGGTCAGAAAATGTACCTGTTTGAGATTCCAGACCTTCTGCAGAGTCCGAGCTACTTCCAATATAGGCTACACTTCTTCTGAGCCATGGTAAAAATCCGGGTTCAAATGTTGGATAATGTCGTAAGGTGCAAAAAACATATGTATAGGTGGCAACGTCAGCGAACTTGGCGACATTGATGGAATAAACCAGTGGGATGTTATATCGAAGAACTTAACAACAACAAGGACTGAAATTTTACTTAATATCGACGAATTTGAAAATCAGTCTGCAATTTTGGGATATGAAGGCCAATATAAACTAGTGAACGGTACGTTTGAAAACTATAATTTAAAATTCAGTAAAATGACCACTATTTTTAGGAACCTACCAAGATGGCTTATACGATCAGTATTACGGCGACTCAGGGAGAGGATCCGAAAATCCGTCTTACGACACACAACAAATAATAAACAGCTTGGCCAACCAAGCGATCCAAACCATATCCAATCAATCACCGCTTACTTCTGACGTCATTTTAAATATGCGAAGTCTGTTGGATGTGAGCTGGTGTAGGGACGCGAATTCCACTCCGAATTTTGTGTGCTCTGGGTTTTGTCTGTTCGATATCTACAGCGATCCTTGTGAAACAACCAATGTCGTGAACGACACGAAATATGAAAATATATTACAAAATTTGCAAGCCAAATTAAGCGAGTTTTATGAACAACTTGTGCCACAAACGAATAAAGCAGTAGATCCAAACTCCGATCCCAGCAAGTCCAATGATACTTGGTGGAATTGGTTAGGCACAGAACCGTAGTTATGAAGATGAACAATATTACATGTCAAAGCTTGGCATAGAACTATATTAATGTATTGTTACATATATGTTCATAAATTTAAAAAATATATAATTTCTTTATTCATACTGAATATACTATTGTCTTCAAAAAAATTAACAATATCCCTTAAATTTGGAGTAAAAAAAAACAAAAAAATATGCACCTGTCTTGTACGTCGAGTATACTCAATGTTATATTTCCTTCTAGCCGAAAATCTTGAGGAATTTGAGGAATTCCTATATATATTATCCTCCTGCAGCTTCACTATAAAGTAATATTTGACATTATGTATTTATTTTTAGCATACTTGTAAAGTTAGTAATGTATCTGTAACAATAAACAAAATTCATGTTGCTACAAATAGAAACTATTTGACAGCTCAGGAACAAATACAATTTTGTAAAGAAAAAATGAAAAAGGGCAGTTCAAAAATAATTTAAAAATACACTTCTGCACGGCACTGGAAACTGGTTCACTGTAAAACCTGACCTGACACAATGGGACCGTCATGACGGTAGTTATAAAAACGGAAAAATACTTGAAAGAAATTCACAACGAAAGGAATAAATAGAATTTTATAGCACCTATTTTATATCAGCAAATTTAACAGATTTTGCCGCTATTGTTATTATTATTAATTAATAAAATTAATTTGTAGTTTTAAATAATATAATAATTTGACATACTTGATGTTACAACTGTTCAAAATTTTGTCCATCGACATTTGGGTCTGTCTTATTGAATTTCTACGAACTAACACAAATGTTATTGTCTTGTTTCACCGTAACACAAATGCTTCACCACAATACAAATGTTTTCTTGCTTCACCATAAATTAAAACAATATCCATCAACTCCGAGTTGCTATACACGCAACCCATTTTTGACACTAACTACTAAAAAACTATTGTAAACACTATGGCAACGACGACTGTAAAATCGGATTTCAGTATTCGGAGACGCTGAGGCCACGCGGCTCTTCACGTGTATTACGAGTGACGCTAGAGACTACAATTATCCAGCTATGTAGTGGTTGAAAGTACTACAACTTCAAAAAATTTTTTCTCCGAAACTAAGGATTTTACAAAAATTTTTTTTACGATTTTGACTCCATTTCTCATGCCGCATCTATTCCCAAATTTTTTTTGGATGTTGTGAATCACCCTGTACATTATGCAATCTGCCGATCTGCCTCAAATGAGTTGCTCTGCTCGGGTAAATGAATTTATACTTTCTTGAAATTTATCCAGTTGGGAGTGATGAGCCCTTACATATGTAACAAATTAGGCTTCACTGAGAGTAGATGAGACCTAACTTAAAATTTTCCAGAATAAACCGGAATTTTTCTAGGACAAACAAACTACCTGGCACGATGCAGTCGACTTATAACAGTCAACAGTGCACCTGCCATTTTTTCAAGGAAGTTGTTATTGTATTTTGTATCAAAAACATGAATTAAGCTGGAATGGTTAGTGATTAGCGATTACAGCGATAATGGCAGAATATCGAACCTTTTGCTACTTGAATGACAGTAAAATAAATTTCGAACTGCAATAAATTTCAAAGTGGTAATTTAGTCTGCACATTGACAGTCTAAATCTTTAACAACCTTCCAAGTCTACACCCAAAATGTTTCTTTTCTGGTTATTTGGTTAGATGTAAAATTTAAATGATAAATACGCAAACTCAGATAAGATTAGTAAATTCTACAGCTGGTTAGTACAATAAAAGAAGTTCGGCAAAATAATAAATAAACACAGCAGAAAAGTAACATCACTGAAATACCAAGTTACATAATACTTATGCGGGGTGTTTTGTGTACATGGAGCTACTACAGATTCCTACTGAAAATCAAATGATTTTACTAAACTTACCTGTATTCAAAGTTATTTCGTTTAGTCGCTTGATGGCATCAAAGTCATCTATTTACCTAGACAATTTTGAGAAAAAGTCTGGAGCAATATAATTGTGTATATTTTGTCTTTGCTTAAAGTAACAAACATTATATTCCACAGTAATTAGAGGCATACGTAGTCATAATCGTTTGGCACGTCACGCCTGATAATTTTTGGAGGCAATCGGCACTAGGGGATTTCCGGGAAATTTTTCAAACATGCGTCGAAATGTAGTTTCCTACCTTTACATATGCGTATTAAATCGTCTGCGGCTGTTTTTCTGTGGTCTCAAGGTTTTGGCAGGAACTATGCCTTGAATAACATCCAATCCGGTGTCAGTATTGCGCTATCACATCACAGGAAATTCCTAACCTCAAAAACAGGTCATAAATAGCAATAATTCACGAAAAAGAGCTAGAAAAAATTGTTTTTTTTTCTATATTCAAATGTTCATTTATATGGTTAAGACCCCGCTGAACGTGAATCGGCGGTCAGAATCGATGTGTCACGTGATAGTGCTCTTTCTAACCTCAAAAAACAGGTCAATTAAGGTCACAATCACGAACTTTTAAAAAATAACAGATTCACGCCAAATTTGGTACATGGGGGTTTTCGGGGTCGCTAATCACGAATGGCTCAATTGACCGTTTTTTTGAGGTTAGAAGAGAACCATCACGTGACACATCAATTCTGAACGCGGATTTACGTTCGGCGGGATCTTAACCATATACATGAACATTTGAATATAGAAAAAAATTTTTTGTACATTTCCTCAGCACCTTTTCGTGAATTTTTGCTATTTTTGACAATTTTTTGAGGTTAGGAAATTTCTGTGATGTGATAGCTCAGTTCTGACACCGGATTCGTGATCAAGAGGTGAAAATACTACGGATAACATGAAAAGTACAGATAACTTTTTTTGTGTGTGGCTGTGTAATTATTGAATTATTTTTTAAATATGGATGGAATTCGAACTTCATACCACGACATTATCAGACGTTACTAATTAATGTACTTTAATTTCTTAGAAAGATAATTATCATATTTCATATAACAAGACAGAATAAAAACTAACTTAACTATTAAATAATAAATAGCTTTCCAATTTTTCTTCATATCAATAAAAGAATTTAAAACTTTTCGGGAAGCAAGCAAGAATATATATTATTAAAAGAAAATAAATCTGTGGGATTTCAAACAGATGTACCATAAAAACTTTTCCGACTTATTACGTTTTTAATTAACAGATATATTTGCGTTCAAAATTCTACTTCATAACATTTTCCATATCAAAAGTGAAAACATTGTAAATATCACTTTTGACTTTCCAAAATGGTATGTATAATATAAAGGTGCACTACCTACTTAATAATGTCTGTATGTATATTGCCGCTGGCGTTTTCTTATTGTTGTGTTGCCTCGAAGCAATGTGAATTTGGTTGCTTCTAGACTCCTATTACTTAATATCATCATGCTGTCGGACTGTCATTCATCTTTTCAATTTTAGGTCGAACTAAATGACGTCACAAATTAGCGTTTAATGTCCTTTACTAATAGTGTTTATCTCACTGCCAAATGTTTCAACAAAATCTATCAAAAACTCACATTAAAAAAGTTATTGAACATTAGTCAAGAAATAGTAAATAAAATAGTCAATATCTGACAAACGGTTGATTCCAACATTTAATTCTCGACACCGTATCCAGTATTTTTTGAAAATAGAAAAAATATATTTGTGCCAAAGCTTTACTGTTCTGCGTCTGTGACTAGTACCGATTTAAAATACGTCTTTCAGTTTCTAAAGAAACGCCAGTGGGCAATTTAAAAGCACACACTATATTTTGATTTTCACTTTAGAATTTTTACAGTTGCATCCTTCAATTATTTTCTAGATATTTCCCAAAAATGAACACCTCAAGGTCACGATGTACGCCAATGCCTTACTAGGTGTTTGGCCATACATATTCCAAGACAACCCTTGTCTTCGTAAACTGTACAACGTTTACTCCAGATTCACTTTTTACTACTTCATCCTATTCATCATATCGGCCATCATGGAACTATTCATACTCGTTGCGGACGACGAAAATAGGACGGAAGAGATAGTGGCCAACCTTTGCATCACCCTGATTTATATAATCACCGCTGTGAGGGTTTACGTGATGAGGAGCACAACGATTAGAAATCTGATCAAACAAATTCTAGCTACCGAGGACGCTATTCTTAAGAACGACGATGAAGAAATTATGGAGATATATAAGTTCCATGCTAGGCAAAGTCAGATTACTAATTTGATTTTCATAGTAAATATTACTGTGGGTAAGTGGATTATACTAATAACTAGTATATTACACGTAAAGTATTTTAAATTCTAATGCGAAAAAATAACTGCTTACGTCATAGAATTATTATTAGCACCATTAGATTTATCCTTGATTGGTGTTCGCTATGATCAAAGCATTCCAACAATTAATATGTAAAGTGACTAGAACGGTTCATAAACTAATCCACTGAATGTCAATTTCCTAATAAAAAGTTAGTATTAAGTACAAAAGCGACACCATCGATGACAATACGACTAAAATTATCAATGACCATATTATCAAATTTATAGAGAGTGCCCGGAAAGGTCATGTCAAAAATGAAGAGATATACAGGGGAGATCAAAATAGTTGTAGTACTTCATAAAACAAATTTTCCTATAGGGCTTCGTTGTGGCGGTATTCGCCTTCAAAGAAAGAAGTTTGAAAAACAAATTCCAATTATAACTTCGTCGTTACCATGACAACAATGAAATTTGGACAATTAAAGTAACTCATGGTAATATTCATTTCCAACTTTAAAATGATATTCAATATGCCTGGAGCATTATACAGGAGCAGGAGAAATTATCCAATTAAATTTATACATTTTTGACAGCGTTGCCAAATTTGGCATTTTTCATTTATTGTTCGATTCCTCTCTCACTTTGCTTTAAGAAAGGTATACCGTATATCATTCGATACCTTGTACCGTTTTTGAGAAAATCGAATTTTATTAACAACATACATATATTGTATCAAATATGCGATATTAACATTTTTGTAAAAATCTGGGTTTCTATGGAAATTGAGATGACTGCTAAGAAGTATGTATAACTAGCAGTTAGATATTTAATTGTTATAAATCATTTTGACACCATTTGTATAGATTCATAATGAGGATTTTTATCGTTGAAGAATTTGCAAATATTCATCTAATGTACGAATTTGCAGAATGTAATGCTTCTGAAGCCAAGTGAAAACCCCATGCTATTATTCAGACAAAGCACTAATAAAAATGTATCATTAATGTATGGATGGGAATAATTGGAAACTACTTAGCGGGACATAACATATAACTTATGCCCGATGCATGGTGCACCACCTCATTTTAGCAGGGCAATAAGGGTTTATTTAAATACCACATTTCCCGATCTATGGATTGGTCGAGGTAGTCTTTTTCCGTGTCCGCCTCAGTTTCCCGATCTTAATCCTCTCGATTTTTTTCTTTAGGGCCATCTCAAAAGTCTTGTTTATCAAACTTCTATATAAATAAGTAGGGAAGATTTATTAAATCACATAATTGCATACGCCGACATCATTAGAAATGATCACCACATGTTAATTTAGAGTACAGTACAGAGGTGTTTGAGCAATTTCACATTTTCAGAAAATGCATTCAAGTTCACGGTACACATATTGAACATCTTAACAGTTCTCTTTTTTTCTTTTCATTCTATAGAGAAACCAAGAGTTTTTACAAAAATGTTAGTACCTATAAAATTTTTGATACAATGTTGTTGATAGTATGTTGTTAATAAAATTCGATTTTTTCAAAAACGGTTCAAGATATCGACTAATATACAGTATATATTTTTTTTAACAAAGTGAGAGAGGAATCGAACTGTGAAAGAAAAATGTCAAATTTGACAACGCTGTAAAAAATGTATAAATTTAAATGGATAATTTCGTCTGCTCCTGTATGATCCAGGCATATTGAATATCAGTTTAAACTTGGAAATGGTTACTTCAATTGCCTAAATTTCATTGTTGTCATGGTAACGACTTAGAAGTTATAATTGGAAGTTGTTTTCCAAACTTCTTTCTTTGAAGGCGAATAACTCCACAACGAAGTCCGACAGGAAATTTTTTTATGAAGTACCTACTACAACTATTTTGACCTCCCCTGTGTACCCCTTAATTTTTGACATGATCTTTCCGGACACCCTGTATATTTACAATTTACGTACGTTACAATACGTCTATACGAGAAGTTCTCGTATTGAACTACATTGAGGCTCGAAACCTTCAGATGTGGATCAACCAATCAACCATAGACCTTGTAAACTATAGACTGGCCCTAAAAAGAGAGTTCAATCGCCCTAACGTGTGCAAGGGAGATGAAGCTAGTACGGGTAAAAACGGGTAAAAATAAATACCAGTATACAACCGGTAAATAAATTTTTCACATGAGTAAAAGCCTTGTAAAGGTTTTCATATTATTAAATTTTTATTGGTGCGAGGTTTATTTTAAAATATTTTTTGATACAGCCCGTATCAACACGGATTCACCCACCCCTACGTTTTAATGAAACGCCGAAATGACAAACTATATTTTAATTAAGTGTTGTTTTATTTCCAGAAACGATATTCTTCTTCACCCACCCACTGTACGTCGACGAGAAGATAAAGTTCAACAAAGCCACCAACGAAACCAAAGTCATCAAAGCCCTACCCCTGTCATCGTGGTTCCCTTACGACCCCCAAGACCACTACCTGGCTAGTTACATGTGGCATATCTTCGATGGGACGGTGGGAGCTTCTTACGTGATGTACACCGACGCCTATAATTTCAGTTTGATAATATTTCCTCTGGGCCAGATTAGGATCTTGACTCACGTGTTGTCTAACTTCCCCAGATACGTACTGAAAGTCAAGGACCAGCTTCAATGCAGCAGAGACGAAGCCAGCTTCATTACCCTGAGAGAGTGCATTTTGAAGCACAAAGAAATTATGAGGTGCTTACTTATACAAGGTGTAACTTTAAATGTTTCTCAGAATACTAACATGAAATCAATTTGTTTAAATCTAAATAGTAAGGGTATAATATTTTCTTTAAACTGCATTTAAATTATTTGCAGATTTTAAATTAAGAGAAATTTTTAATTTACAATACCTAATAATTTTAAATACTGGTTTTTGAATAACAATATTTAAAATTGTCCTCGTTTTTCTGAACAAATAATGGAGGAGTACCTATCCGAAAATTGTGCTGTCTCCCTAGACAGCTTTGGGGGTAGCAGCGGTTCTTCTGAACCTTTTCTGCATTAGTGGAGTTTTGGGCACTTCTAGTATAGTTACTTTTCTTTTTATCACTGTCTTTTAGACTTTACCTTGCCCGAGCACAAAGTTTCACCTTGCCTAAACGCTATTTGAGGTCTCTTGAAAGTACTTTGATTTTTGGACTTCTGAGAGCATCATAATTTTCGGTTTCTTTTAGAGTACATTATTTTTGCTGCTTATAGTTTGTTCGCATTCCGTAGGATCTTTGTCGCAAACTGGATTGGGTGCTACTTTATAGACTCTAGGCCTCAAGTGGTGCTTTCCCAAAATTTTCAACAATGCTTTAAATTGGAAAAATTGGGTATAATGATATGTTCTCGCCAAATCGGCCAAACCAATCATGTATATCACAATATTTTTTCACGGACACTACGAAAAATATTCTAAATAACAATTAAGAGTAACCATACGATCGGAATGACAGATTTTAGTTAATTATTGTTTTCATTTTAGGTACTTGCAGGAATATAATGACTCCATGAAAAACATAATGCTGTTGGACTTCTTACAAAGCTCTCTGCAGTTGGCCTCGGTTGTGATACAGCTATTTGTGGTTTGTATCACATACACTGCATGTTAAAAAATTAAAAACCTATTATATTTTCTATTTTAATTGAGGGTTTTTTTAACTTAAAAAAAATGTCCATGGAATTTTTGGTCAAATAATTAATTTTCCTGGATCATCTTAAAAGAAACAAAAAATGTCCTCTTTTTGATACTAATAATCTGCACCCTTTTCGAGAAAATTGCAATAAATATTTTTATGTACCTTGATGATAGATATTCAGAAAATAAAAAGTGATATGGATTGTTTTAAAATTTTACTCATAGGTACATTATATCAATTAAAAAAAAGGAAAAAAAAAGTTAGAAAATCAAGAAAATTGGTCGCGGAATCCTTTAATGCAATTTAATCCAAATATTTACGACCTACTCAAATTTAAGAGCGTTTAAAGAAAAATTCATAGTGGAAAACAATAGGTTTTAGCACTAAAATGCATTATTTTACCAAAAAAATTGGCGGACATTTTTTTAAGATAAAAAGAACTGGTACCCTCTGTATCTCCCCTATTGTCAGCCAGATAAAACAACTGTTAACAATCGATAATCTGAAGATCTGTACTGAGTTACATTTCACCCATTTTGGAGTTTTAAAAAATATATATGTCCTTATATCACCACGTAACTTTTTTACTATCGTTTTCAGACCCTGTTCTTAACAAATATTTTGCTTAAAATGACTTCCTATTCCATATGGTGGCATGTTTTAGAAACACTCTATGCAAAATACAAAAGTGTTCTCAAAGTTATGATGCTTTTTGCAGGATGTAGAATTAGATAAATTTGCCAAAAATCGCCTACATGAAGATAGAAAACTGATATTGCTCTTATCACAATCCTACAATATTAAAAATAAATCATGTTTACAAGTTCACTGTTTTCATAAACATGCGCAATTGTTTAAAAAAGCAATAGAGAGAACAGCTGTTTATCGCGCACGCACTCAAGTCTCAGATTGACTGAAAATTTGCACAAAAACTGTACCTACACTGTAGGTACTTATAGGTTTTATAAAACCTTTAACTATCAATGTATTGTTATTTTGCGACTTTTTACACGTTTTTAAGGCGGGTCATATTTACACAGGAGCTACCCACGACTTAAAAAACACATACGTTTTTCTCAAATTCCGTCACTGAATCTTTTAATTTTGTTTCGGAATTTCCATACTCCGCCACTGCACAGGCGAGTATAACCTCAAATAACACATACGTTAGCGGTCATACACCTACTATCTTAAGTATATGGCCACGGGTAGTGATGGACGGGTCGGGTCTGACCCGGATCAAAGATTCGGATCTTTACGATGATCTGACTGACCCGAATCCCGATATAAGTTCTGTCGGATCACTCGGGTCGCGGACCTCAGCTAATCTCGTATGGCCGTGCTGTGGCACTATGTAATGAAATTGATCGCAGAGGTTTACGGAGTACGCCGCCGCTCCCGAGACCCGTATGTAGTGATGGGAAGACTCGTGTATTTTAGTGACCCGGGTCATCTAGATCAATCATTATGATGACCCCTTCTGCCCATTCATGACAGTCCCACAACCAGAACCGTTCACTCAACGTCGGATCCAGAACGAAGCGACCGACCCGACGACCCGGGATCCGGATCATAGATTCGGTTCATTGAAGTGACCCGGATCCGATGACCCGAATCCTAAAAATGACCCGTTTTGCCCTTCACTAGCCACGGGCCACGGTATAATAGACAGATCAGTAGGGACAGCGGATTAATTTATGAATGAAATCCGCCAGGCGGATTATATGACCTTGTGATTTTAACTGAAAATATAGTATCACTTCCAAATGGAAGTGAGGCTATTTTCACACTGTTTCAGCTGACGTTCGTACGAGAAACTAGTGATCATCAAAATGTTGTAATAGTAGGTAAATCGCAGAATAAACGTAATAAAATGAAGCGGTAACATACTGCGCCATTCTCGTTTCGCTGGTCGTTTGGTTTTTGCCTGCTCAACCTATATAGTTGTCACATCACATCACATCAGGTGAATGGACATTATGTAGTTCACCTGAACTACATACGTTAATGCCATTGAAATTGACATTCATAAAGTATACACAGTCCTGTTAGTTTTCCAAATACTTTTTATTAAATACTTGAAATAATTTTAAAAAGTAGTATGTCAAATCTCAAATTAGTATTTATTTTTTTATTATACTTACCGTTATAAAACGGCAAAACCATAAATTAGTTTCGCTTACGCAGGTAAGGTATTCACTTGTCAACATTGGTTTAGATTTTATAAATCATAAAAAAAATTATATTCTTTTAAATAGTTGAAAGTTTTAACAAATTATGCAAAAATATAAATGTTTCCAAAATGTTCGAAACATTATTTAATGTTCGGTGCTGCGTCCATATTGACATCAAATGATCAAATGATGACTTTAAAATAACACGTCGCAGTCGTCATACAAAAGCAGTTTGTTTTTTTTAATTACTTTCCATTGCAGTTCCGCCGTTGTTTTCATGTTTCACGTACAATTTATACCTGAATAAATTTCCCAAGTTCTTCATGAATTAAGTAATTATTCTAATTTTCATGATGGATTTGTAAACTTCGTGAATTTCTTTGAAATATAGTTACTACGAACTATGTAACCAAGTCAAAGTAAATAAAAGCAGATGGATAGTGAGTATATTTCTTGGAATGGGTTGGGAAATATTTTATTTAATAACACGTAAAAAATAAAATCTAAATATCACACTTTATAAAAACATGCTGAAATAACATGCAAACAATAACTTCACCTCACAATTTTTTTGTTGGTACCTACTTCTGAACTTCAAGATAAAATTGACGAAAATTAAACTAATTCAGTAACAATTCCATAAATTTGTTACTTGACATTTTGATAACAGACAACTCGTCTATTACTTTACTTTAAAAAATAATAATTTCAGGTGTTCAGTTCACTGTATAGGTGATGTTTGTAAAAATTACCTATTTTTACGTGTTCTGCATGCTGTTAAAAAAGTATTTCAACTTTGAAAAAACACTGTATTTTATAAATATCTTTGTGAAAATTGCAATATCTATATTAAGAACGTATATCGTACCTTGCATTTTCAAATAATTTTATATCATGTTTCAGACAAAAGCAACAGTGTTCAATATCATATTTCATGGAGAATTTACAATCTGTATGCTAATAAGATTGTTAGTCTATTACTGGTACGCCAATGAAATCATGCTGGAGGTAAATGAAAAAAAATATGTGTATGTACAAGAGTTTATTATGACCTAATATTTCTACAGGCAGTTTCTTAGAAACTAAGACATTCCTGGCTCAAGGGCAGTTACAGAATTGAGTGCAAAATCAGTGGCGTCGCTAAGAAAATTAAAAATAATTTCATTGTTTGGTATACATCTGTATTATTAAAATGTAATACCCACTTATAGTATGTATTTCCGCCAAAACGATTGAAATTTTTCATTATCAGTCACTTTCACCAGAATATTACATGCCGACCAAAAATTAGGTCTTATAAAAAAATACTCAGTGTGGCAGCTGTAAGAGTTGATTCCTTTTATGGATTGGACTTTCAAATATCTCCCTCCAATCCTACAAAATCATTTCACAAACATAACATTTTATTACTGTCCCATTGACAAAACATTTAATACATTTATTAATTTGAAAAGCATGTAACTAGTGAAACATTTTTAAATTTCTTTAGATATACCGGCCTGTATCAATGCCTGAAAATTACGATGTGAAACCAGTAGACACTTTTTTACCTCGCACAAATGCCACTGATGCTTGCATCCAAAAATATTTTACATTTGGAGGACAAAAATTAAAAAAAAAACTATTATGTTAAATGACAGTTGACTTATTTTAGAGTCTCAACGTGTCCACAGCAGTATACGAGTGTGGCTGGTACGACGAACCACAAAATGTAAAGCAAATGATGCTACTTGTGATTCAAAGAGCTAACAAAGCATTGGAGCTGGATATAGGTCCGTTCACCACGATGACTTTGAGATCATTTCTAGGGGTGAGTCTTTTCTATAAATAAAGTACTAATTTCGTACACCCTGTCCGGAGTGGGCCAATTTCAACACATTTGGAGGATTTTTCCTGCCTTCCTAGAGGATTAACAAAATACAGTGTAAGACTCGATTTTCGTGAAAAGTTGCAACTTACAACGCAAGGTCAGTCAGTGGCAAGCGGTTCGAGGCGTCTATATTTGAATCGATTAATGCCACTGTTGTGGGTTTAAGAGGAATTAGGCACCCTCTCTGCAGGTATGCTAGGGTGACTTGAGTCAATGTGAAAGATTGATACCGGTCAGCATTTGACCACCCCCCTAATTAATAAGGTTTTCTAGGTTTCCCTCATTCCTGCACTGAATGGTGGTTAGGGCAATGTAATTCGTTCCTGGGCGCACATGCGACCTACTGAATAATAATATGCCGCTCCCTCTCCCGCGCGAATTTCCAAATTCTGAGTTAATCCTTGCGATTAGAATGAGGAATAGCGATATTACTATTATTCCAATATACAGGGTGAGCCACCAGTAATGCCTCGGTCGCTAGTGACCAAACGGCAAATGTTACAGAAACCTGTTTTTGTGGGTATGTGTAGGTTGATTATTGCTACATTTTAAAAATATTTTGAGATATACAGGGTGTTATGTTTTTTTAAATGGAACACCCTGAATTTTAGTGCATTTTTGAAAGCACCGTAAAAAAAAATAGGTGAACTTTGTTAAAGGTTCTGCATACCTAGGACTTATAGTTTGTGAGATATTTCAATTTTAGTGAAAATGCAAGCATAGCGTAGAAATGTAATATTAGCAATAAAAAAATAATTTTAAGGAAGCAGCTTTGGAGGGTCTATTAGATGCTTGAAGTTATAAATTGTTATATTTGTCGTCACTTAGTATTATACAGGGTGTTCAATAAACTGCTGAATACTTCTCTCAACTTTAAACAGCAATAACTTGGTTATTTTAAATGGAACACCCAGTATATTTTTACTTTGGGAGTTGGGAAATTTAAAACTCTTTCAAACTGTGTATAGGTTCCCTATACCTATCTCTAACGGTATTGGAGATATTTGTGCCGTTTCGTTTTTTATCGATTTTTTTTGTAAGATGTATCCACGTGTCTTTATCGAGGTCTTTACTGAATTGGTTTGGGTTCTTCTTGATGACGTCTCTTTAAATATATTGAGAAAAATGAGGATGCAATTAGATGGCGCACCTGCAAATTTTTCATATTCAGTGAGAAATTATTTAAATCGAAAATTTAGTAATAAATGGATAAGTAGGAATGGTGCATGTCAGTGGCCACGTAGGTGTCCAGACCTCACCGTAATGGACTTCTTTGTTGCGAGCTATATAAAAAATCTTGTATACAATGTTCCACCTATTACTTGCGATGATATTGGAGGGAAGGATTAGAGATGCATTTGCGTGAGAATATCATTTGAAGATAGAATAAGATGCTGTATTCAGGAGAATGGTTATCAATTCGAACATCAATTAAAATTTTTCTTTGTTTTTTCTAAAAGTAAAAGTTCCTTTTATCATTATCATGAAAATATTCAAAAAAGTTTTCTAATAAAAAATATTATTTTATAAGCAGAATAATTATAAAAAGTTATTAATTTTGTATAAATATGTTTGTAGTAAGTAACTGAATTATTTATGAACATGAAAAATATTTATTAAAGAAAATTTTACTTTTAGAAGAAACAAAGAAAAATTTTAATAGATGTTCGAATTGATAACCATTCTCTTGAATACAGCATCTTATTCTATCTTCAAATGATATTCTCACATTCCTTAGAATATTTGGGGTGATTGTGGCAAATGCATATCTAATCCTTTCCTTCATATCATCGCAAGTAGTAGGTGGAACACTGTGTACAAGATATATTTTTATACAGCCCGAAACAAAGAAGTCCATTACGAGAGGTTTGGACACCTGTGGTAGCCACTGACATGGACCATTCTTACCTACTCATTTATTACTTAATTATCGATTTATATAATTTCTCACTGAATATGAAAAATGTGCAGGTGCGCCATCTATTTGGATTCACAATTTTCTCCTTATATTTAAAGAGACGTCATCAAGAAGAACCCAAACCAATTCAGTAAAGACCTCGATAGAGATACGTGGATGCATCTTACAAAAAAAATCGATAAAAACAAAACGGCACAAATATCTCCAATACCGTTAAGAGATATGTATAGGGAACCTATACACAGTTTGAAAGAGTTTATAAATATACTGGGTGTTCATTATATTACTGATATCTCTAACCATGGAAATAGGTAAAAACAATTTACACTGTCAAATATAATTAAAAACGAAAAGTCAGACAATGTCCAAAAGACGAAGACAGATACATTTTCGAAACGTCAACAACAAAATGTGTATTTTGTATTTGCAAGTTTATTTCATTAATTTTTTAAATTATTTCACACATGGCAAAATACCCAATAAAGAAAAAAAATTCTTTCAAATGATGTAATCGAACAGGATTCACAGAAAAAATAGTTTTTAAAATATAAACACTGAAAATATTTGTTTTGTAATTCAATTGTTTCTTGATTAAATTAAGTGTGCCATGGATGTGTCTAATCTATCTATAAAAAAAATGTATAACCCACTGAACTGTTTTATAAAACAGCTGCATTACAAATAATTTTTGGTTGAAAATCGAGCCCAAAATGTCTTAACGGAAAAAACTGTCATTTTACACACTCCCATTGACATTTTATGTATGAAACTTTTTTTTCTAAATATTATCATTTTCAGATAATAAAGGCCACCTATTCTTACTTGATGGTAATGTATAGATAAGTTAAAAGAAAAAATTTATATTTGGATTGACATTTTTAAGATGAAGTTGATGGATTATAATATATTAAACACTACATGTTATGTATATTTAATGCATTTATTAAATAGTTATAATTATTGTAGAGATTACTGTAAATCTATTGATATTTGCACTTCCCATTACTAATATAATAAAATTATCACATGGAAAAAATGTTTTATTTAATTTCATATCTGACTTCTAGAATTACGTGAGAATAAAAAGTTATTCAATAAATTTGAAATAGTAGGACTCATCAATATGAATATTGAACCTCATTGTTAACTTAGACTTACTACTCAATTCGTTTAAGAGACACATTTTTCTATTTTAGCTATTTTCCATCATGTCTTATCTTTTTGGCTTGTGAAAACATTTGATTTTTGTAAATAAATTTTATATAGTTTCATGCTCAGAATCCAATGATGTACACAATATTTTAAATTAGAACACGACTTGGCAATCTCGTAATTCGTTGGTTGGTTGTTTCACCGTTTTAAAAAAGTATTTGTAAATATTTGAAATTTCAAAAAATTATTCATCTACATTGCAGGTTACAATATATGTACATATTTGAGATTCTGTCTATATACAAGTACATAAAGAATGAAGGTATAATCACATGTGTACACTTGCACTTAGACAGGATCTTTATGTTTCCGCTGATGGATAATGAAGCACCTCTTATATTTAGTCTTGTAACCACATCCATCACATGTGTACACCTCAGGAGAAGTTTCGTGTCTCAGACGATGGGATCGCAGGCTAGCCTTATGTTTACTCTTGAAATCGCACAAATCACACTCATACATCTGCACTTGGGAAGGGTCCTTGTGAGTCAGCTGATGACTAGCAAGATGGCTGTTATACTTAGTCTCATAATCACATTTATCACACTTGTACAACTGCACTTGAGAACGGTCTTTATGTTTCAGCTGGTGACTGACTAGATGGTTATTGTACTTGGTCTCATAGTCACATAAATCACACTTGTACAAAGGAGCTTCCGACGGGCCCATGTGCTTCCGCTGGTGGAGCACTAGACAGCTCTTCTTTTTGCTCTCATAATCGCACGCGTCGCACTTATACGTCGGTACTTCGGACAGCTCTTTATGTTTCAGTTGGTGGTACCCCAGACTTGATTTGTATTTACTTTTGAAATCACAAGCATCACACTTGTACCACTGGACTTGAGACAAGTCTTTGTGCCTCAATCGGTGGTGTTTCAGACTCGTTTTGTGCTTACTCTGAAAGTCACACGCGTCACACGTGTACATTCGCACTTGCGATCGGTCCCCGTGAATCGACTGATGACTAACGAGGTGACTTTTATACTTAGTTTTGTAACCACAATTATCGCATTCATACATGTGGACTTCTGACGGCTCCTTGTGTCTCAGTTGGTGATGTTTCACACTTGTTTTGTACTTGCTTTCGAAATCGCACTTATCACACTTATACATTTGTGTTAACACATGATCTTCTGGTTTCCGCTGACCACTAGCAAGCTGGCTGTGCTGACCATTACACTCAGTGTCGTAGTTGCCTAAGTCAGGTTTGTTCTCTACTGATGAATCCTCTAGTTTCAACTCATCAGGTAAGCCATATTTACTGCTGTGATTTGACACATGCCTTCTGATGTTGTATTTATACTTGGTCTTAAAACCACACAAATTGCAACTATACATGTTTATTTCTAATTTATTTTTGTGTTCCATAACAAGTTGTTTTTCGTGCATAATATAGTTTCTTGTTTTTACATCTTCTAACTCACATCCATGCATGCAGTCAACAAATTCAATATTGGTGTTATGGTTATGGAATGGCAAGTCACTGAAACAATTTACAAAGATATTAATTGGTATTAAAAAAAATTTAATGTTCTTGAAATATAAAAATAAGTACGCGAAGCACAAAGGCTCCATCTATCGTGCTGACTTCCACTATGCCATTCAAATGGCTACTACGGTGGAAGCGACCTGCTAAAATTTGTCAGGTACTTTATTGCACGAATGTCGCCTATAGAGGGCGAAACACAATACTGGGTGTCGCGAATGTAATTCAATGCCGGTAGGGGCAAATAGCCCTCAGAGTAGTAGTTTTTCGCGGCACTGACGACATAAAAATAAGTTGTTGAACATTTACAGCAACTTTTGTGCCAAAAAGTTCAGTCTAGGTTTATTTTTATGAAATAAAATTAATTAAATAAAAGCAAATAAAAGAAAAGCATAACTGTTTGCTTATCTGCTTTCATAGCTACAGTACCTACACATATATCATGATATTGTAGTAACCTGTTTCAAACTTTGAATTTTACAGCAAACACCCTTTTAAAACATGTATTTTGCTCACTTAACTTTAATAAGTAACTATTAATTAACAACTAAGAGATTTCTAATATTTTCACTATATGGTTATAACGAGCGTTCAAATAAAAACGTGGTCGAAGTTGGCTCTGACACATTGGACGTAGGGAGTAGCTTATAACGACCAACTTAACCTCATTTCTCAACGAGCTATATAGCAGCTGTCAGTTTCAATAACGTTAATGACTATATAACTTTATTTTAAAGAATAATCGTGATAACAATAACAAACAATTAAAGGAGCTGCGGAAAGTGTCCCCCTCCTTGTTATAACAATAAATTAAAGCAGCTGCTGAAAGNGAATCCTCTAGAGTCAACTCATCAGGTAAGCCATATTTACTGCTGTGATTTGACACATGCCTTCTGATGTTGTATTTATACTTGGTCTTAAAACCACACAAATTGCAACTATACATGTTTATTTCTAATTTATTTTTGTGTTCCATAACAAGTTGTTTTTCGTGCATAATACAGTTTCTTGTTTTTACATTTTCTAACTCACACCCATGCATGCAGTCAACAAATTCAATATTGGTGTTATGGTTATGGAATGACACGCCACTGAAACAATTTACAAATGAATTAGTTTAAAAAAAATTGAATAACTTCAATTCTTGAAATATAAAAATAAGTTGTTGAACATTTACAGCAACTTTTGTGCCAAAAAGTTCAGTCTAGGTTTATTTTTATGAAATAAAATGAATTAAATAAAAGCAAATAAAAGATAAACATAACTGTTTGCTTATCTGCTTTCATAGCTACAGCACACATATATCATGATATTGTAGTAACCTGTTTCAAAGTTTGACTTTTGCAGCAAACACCCTTTTAAAACATTTATTTTGCTCACTTAACTTTAATAAGTAACTATTAATTAACAACTAAGAGATTTCTAATATTTTCACTATATGGTTATATAAGGTTATAGATATTTAGAAAATATATGCAAGTTGCCCATGTTCATAAACCAGCCCATTTTTCAATACTTTTTTATTTAATCTAAAAATGCCGCCATTTGGTTTTAAATGACTTACCTCTCCGTATCTTTAAGTTCCGACTTTATTTCGATAGGCTCGGCTTTAATCGACATCTCTTCGTCTTCAGGTTTTGCTAGAGTGGGTTCTGTTTTGCTCATCTCCTCTTCCTGTTCATTTGTTTCAGATTTTATTTCAGACCTGGGTTCAATGCTCGAAACTAACGATGGCATCCATACCAAACTGTCGGGGATGTCTGTGCTATGAGTACACTTAATTTTGTCCTCTGCTTCTAAACAATTTCTTATGAAGCTACTATGGGTGTTGAAGGAATCAGAACATTGTCTGCAAATAACCGGATCTTCGACAACACTGAAATTCTACAAAGCACACTTCTTGGAATTTAAACATTTAATGTTAATGTTTTTTTGAGAAAAATTCTAATACTCACTATTTCTGGCATATACTTTTCTAATTTGTTAACATCCATTTCATTTATCGATACAAATTTGTCTTTTATTAACTGCATACATAATCTACAAACTTTATGAGCGTCTAATGCGTAAATTAATTGCTTGTTTTTTGTTTCTCTTGTGTAAATGTCTCTTAAGTCAACGGAAGATGCTCTTTTATCAACGTAAAAAATTATGATATTATCAATACAGAGACACGTCGACTTAAATTTGTATGCCTCCATTAACTTCCGTGAGCAAATCCTACAAATTATTTGTTTACTTTTTCCGTCAAAATCCTAAAAGTTGATGTTAATTCATAACATTATAAGGAAAATAAGAATAAAATATTTATACCACATTCAGTCAACACTTTTACTTTATATTATATGTATTAAAAAAACGTTTTCATAGTAGAAAATTTGGTCTCATCTAAATAATCACATGTAGATTTAGATTTTAACTTTCAAACATAAAATTGTTGAATGAACTGGGCATTAACCTAAAAATTTAATTTTCAGTATCATGTAGATGTCATACTTTTAAATTGTGCATTCCAAGAGCCAGAATATAAATTCATGAACCTCAACCTACCAATTTCAGTCGAAGAACGTCTAATATATCCCTGGTGGCGTCTGTTATCTCTTCAAAATGTTCTTCCCTTACCACATTGAGGCATAACCTACAGAGCTGCTCTCTTGGCTTCTCCATTTCAATAATTTGTTTTTATCGAATTATTAGAATTTTAGGGCAAAATATTTTGTAAACAAATATAACCATAACCTCTTCCATATGACACCACCACAGAACACGAAAGAGCAACAATCCCTCCAAAACGTATTTCACTAGCGCCATTCGTGGCGCGATATTTAACAATTCTGAGTGATGCTTGTAGCACAATATTCAAATTGTACTATTTATTTGTACTTCATTCCAAATTATTGACATCAATAATTCAAATGGTAAGAACCTTTATTATTTTTAAACTTCCGACACTGGCAACACAAGACTAAGTGTACAAAAAGAAATATTTTACAACTCTAGAACCAACTTTAGTACAGGTCTTAAGGATCTTAATTAATGATAAATTAATGGGAATACTGCAGAGTTAATTGAGTGTTACAGTCTTAAATTTTTCGACTTTTTCCAGACTGGCTTTATTTAAACCGTCTTTTACATTTCTTCACTATTAATAAACCTCATAGTTTTAAAATAGAATTACGAGAAGCGTGATAAGATTAACGTTAACTAAAAAATAATTGAAAACTCAGTAGTAATATATATCTATATGTTAAATTTATGTGGAAATGGTACAAAATATTGAAAATTTTCCAATGTAAATAAAAAAACTTGAATATGTTTAATTAGAAATGATGAAATTGTTAATTAGCTAATAAAAAAATATTTAATATATTAAAATGAAAACATAATTAACTGAAGCAATGTGGTAGTAACTATCAACGTTAGGCAAATATAAATTTACAGGGATCCTGGAATTCCTTTTCTCTAAGGTATAAATTTACTGTACTAACTAGTGATCAGTTCTTATAATGTTGCATTTATTTATAATAAAATTCCACAAATGTTCTGTTTCAATTGGTGAAAAATAAACAAATCCTTCAAATTTCGCCAAAGAAAATAGTAGCAATTGTTAAGATCTGAAGATCGAGTTGGTTAATTTTGAGGGATTATTTCCTATTCGTATATTGGGAAACTGGTAACTTAAAAAGTATCCAACAACTGAAATGAGATGGTGTCCTCTCATGTATAAACCATATTTTGTGCCTTAATTTCATTAACACATTTTCAAGTACAACAGGATATTTTTTAGAAATTCCGAATAATTTTCTCCTTAGTTTAGAACTGTTAAAAGAAATAACCCAAACAAATTATGTCAAATAATTCTGCCTAAATATTTAACTTAAAATGTCAACGAGTTGTGTGAAGATTTAAATAAATAAAAATCATGGAAGTTATAAATAAAGTTATAAACACAAGAGCATGATAAAGAGTTAACAAACCTACTAAAAACACAAAACAACAATAGCACTAAATATAAACTAGTACAACATGAAATTGAATTTTCAAATAACATCATCATCTTCATCATCTTCATCTAGTGGTTGGTTCTTTAAAAGTCCCATAGCACTGCGGCCTAATTAGGCCTATTGTGCGTCCCACTACTAGTCCTATTCAGCAAGTAGATTTGTCCTTTTTACAAAGTCCAAAAGCTTCCTTGCTGACACTTCTCTCAGCTCCTTGGGTTCCAAATAGGGTCTCCCAAGGAGCGCCATTCTGCTACGTGCAAATCCCGGGCACTCGCCCAGGATATGCAGAGAAGTTTCATCCGCCGATTCACATCCTCGGCAGACCGGACTGTCTACAAGCTTTAGTCTATGTAGATGTTTCCTAAAGTGACAGTGTCCCGTTATGAGTCCTGTCACTCTCCTGAGCCGGATTCTATTCAAGCTCAGTAACTCATTCGCTCTTCCATTCGAAGGATACTCCATAAGCTCCTTGGAATGGCTATGTCCTGGCCTTGAAGTCCAGTATTTCCTATGTTCTGTCTCTGTCCATTTGCCCATAGCCCGCCTGACCACACTGGGAGATGTGCCACAGAAGGGCTCCGGGCCAATGAACACTGTTTCGGATCCCTTCCTCGCAAGTTCATCCGCTTTCTCATTTCCACAAATGCCTTTGTGCCCTGGCACCCAACACAGTCTGACTGTATTGTTGGTGGCCAGTTCAGTTAGCATTTGTAAACAGTCCCACACCAGTTTTGAACTTACCTTGTGTGCGGCTAAAGCTTTAATTGCAGCTTGACTATCAGAGAATATATATATGAGTTTACGTCTATAACCTCTACGTACATTCTCTGCCAGACACGCCATTATCGCGAAGATTTCTGCTTGGAATACAGTAGGGAACTCCCCCAGACTGTAGCTTGCACTCCATCTGGGTCTGAGTCCATATATTCCTGCACCCGTCCCTCTGGTCATTTTGGAGCCATCTGTAAACCATACTAGGCTCCACCTTTCCAGGGTATTAAACCTTTCCTCCCACTCGCTTTGATCCTCTATTCGAGTCTCAAATGGCTTGTGGAAGTGAAACTTTGGAACCATCTTGTCGGATACCATCCCAAGAATTGGTTCCGACATAGATGTATCTTTGATCCTGGAGTGGGAACCACCCCTCCAGTCATTATTATTCCTGAGTCGATATGCTGCTAGCCGCGCTTCTCTCTCCACCACTATATGCAGCGGTGGCAGATTTAGCATGACTTCTAGTGCAGCTGTCGGGGTCGATGCCATCGCCCCCGTTATACCTAAACAGGCCAATCTCTGAATTCTATTCAGTTTTTCCTTCGCTGTGGTCTGTTGTGTTTTCTGCCACCATACCACCGCGCCGTAAAGAATCCTGGGTCTTACTATCGACGTATACAACCAGTGTGACATCTTTGGTTTCAGTCCCCAGGTTTTCCCAATAAGGCGGCGGCATACACACAGTGTCTGCTTCGCCTTACTCACCACTTTTTCCAAGTGCGCATTCCAGGTAAGCTTATTATCCAGTATCACTCCTAGATATTTTACTTCCCTGGAAAATGTAATGCCCCTCTCCCCTATTATAGGTTCAGAGAGTCCAGTTAAATTTCTTCTCCTAGTGAAGGGTACTACGACCGTTTTGTCAGGGTTTACTGACAGTGCCTGCCCCTTACACCAGTCATCTATCCATTTCAAAGCCTCTTTCATGAGTTCTGAAACGATAATATTATGTTTCCCGACTATGAGAACGACCAAGTCATCCGCATAGCCTTGTGTATAAAACCCCTTTCGATTAAGGCCCTCCAGTGCGCCGTCCACCACTAATCCCCATAACAAGGGAGACAGTACGCCTCCCTGGGGGCAGCCCCGGCCTACCTTACACCTGGATGTCTCTCCCGAAAGGGTAGCTGTTACTGTCCGGTTTCTCAACATGGTATCTATCCAACGACACAAAGTGTCTTCAAGGCCCCTGTTGCGAACTGCCGAATTAATAGATTCGAAAGGTGTATTGTCAAATGCCCCTTCAATATCTAAAAAAGCTGCCAAAGCTAGATCTTTGTCGTCCATTGCCCTCTCTATCCTAGAGACTAGGCTATGAAGGGCTGTGTCGACTGATCTGCCTGCCTGATAGGCGTATTGGTACCTGTGCAGAGGATTTGCCCTCAATACCCCGTCCCTTATATGCCTGTCAACTATTCTCTCCAACGTTTTCAGGAGGAAAGATGTTAAACTTATCGGGCGATATGCCTTTGCCTGGGCATACGATGGACGCCCTGGTTTAGGAATAAACGCCACGTTCGTCGATCTCCATGCCAGCGGTATATAACCAAGTGCAATGCTGGCTCTGAAGACGTGAATTAAGACCGGAGCTAGACAGTCCACCCCCTGCTGTAGCAGTACAGGTAGGATTCCATCGGCTCCTGGTGATTTAAATGGGTCAAAAGAACTTATTGCCCATCTTATTCGTGACTGACTCACCACCGTCTTGGCAACCTCCCAGTTCTGTCGAGACCCGGTCGTTACCCTCTGCTGGTGATTCCAGTCATATTCATCTCCATGATTTAATAACCTGGAGCCTGGAAAGTGAGTATTTAGAAGTAATTCCAATGTCTCCCTTCCAGTTTTGGTATATTCCCCACTCGGTGCTTTGAGAGACCCGAGTTTCGTATGTCCGTTCTTAGAGAGAAGTCTCTGGAGTTTAGCACACTGTGGGACACTATCAATATCCTCACAGAACTTCCTCCATGAGTCTCTCTTCGCTTTTCTAATTTCTTTATTATACTCAGTGAGGGTTGCTCTATAAGCCTCCCACTCTCCTGTCCGCTTTGCTCTATTAAATAGTTTTCTTGTCTGTCCCCTCAACTGCGTGAGTTCCTTGCTCCACCAGGGTACGGTGTGCTTATCGGACCTCACTTTGATAGGACAGCTATATTCATATGATCTTGTGACGGCGTTTTGGAGTTCCTCCACAGCCCTCTCAAGATCATATGTGTTCCTTAATTTTGTACAGATTTCCCTAGTCCTGGCCTGTAACTCCGTTCTATAGGAGTCCCAGTCAGTTCTTTTTGGGTCTCTGCAGGTTCTTACTTGCGGATTATAATCCGTTATAATTTCAAAGTGGATATGTCTATGATCCGACATTGACGGCTCATTTGACACATGCCACCTTGCAATATTATTACATATCGGTCCCGATCCCACTGTTATATCGATTTCAAATAACATACTTTGGTGTGAAGTAACAGATAATAAACGAATTTATATTCCAAAACATTTTAGATTACAAATATTTAACAGATTACATAAAATTTCACATAAGGAAGATTTGAACACATACATATAGACATAGTAGGACCACTTCCACCTTCAGAACATTGTAGTTACATACTCACAGTAGTAGAAAGATTTACTAGATGGCCTGAAGTGTATCCATTGTCCAATATTTCAGCAGAAACAATAGCTAAAACATTATTTTTTCAATATATGTGTAGATTTGGTATACCATATACCGTAACCACAGATCAAGGTAGACAATTCAAATCAGCTTTATTTACAGAATTTACGAAATACATAGGTACTCATAAAATCCACACAACAAGCTATCATCCACAAAGTAATGGGATGGTAGAAAGATTTCATAGAACATTAAAAACTGCGTTGATAACAAAAACTAATAATAATAATCGTTGGAAAAATGAATTACCAATTATTTTATTAGATATACGAGCTGCTATTAAGAGTGATTTAGATTGTTCATCTGCAGAATTAGTATATGGACAACCATTACGCCTCCCTGGAGAATTTTTTACTGAATCCCATAATACCATTGACAATTCTTCTTTATTAGTTGGTTTACGAGAAACATTTGCTAACCTTAGACCAACGACAAGCAAACATCACACTAAAGACAAACCATTTGTTACATCGAATTTAGATACTTACATGTGATTACATTTTTATAAAATCTGAAAATAGAAAGTCTTGTTTGTCACCCATCTTTGAAGGTCCTTACAAGGTTTTAAAGCGTTATCAAAAACCAATAAATACTTTAAAAAATGGTAGAGAGTTAACTGTTAGCATTGATAGATAGCCCAGTCATTATAGATATGAAAGAGCCTGTTTCGGGAAAAAAATACTATTAGAAGTTTCTCTGCGGAATATTGTTCGGAAACCTGCTATAAATAAAATATCAAAAAATCAACTCGAGGCTAGTTGGGAAACTGTTTTAACAGTGGTCAAAGTTATGGAAAAGTGTTTTTTTGACTCACGTAAAAAAGCTATTATTCATAGCGAAAAAAAGTTTATACAAAAAAAGGTAGGTATTAAATAAGCCTATAAAAAGAAAAAAAGTCCGATTAAATTCCGATAATTTGTTTATGCACAAGAGCTCAAAAATGGTCGAAAATTATCGTTTTTTTCAATTGCTAATAATTAATGCAATTTTCATCGCAGACACTTGTAATTCAGGATTTTTGAGGCTTTTTACACGCTTAATAAGTGGTAAAATTTTCAGCTCGAAAGCTTTATTGGTTTGGCGTTGGCAGAATTTGTTATCTAAGAAGATGCTATTTTCAATTCATTTTTCCCAAGCTCACAGGCGTTGTAGGGTTTTGATCATTAGTTGTTTTTGTACCTAAATAGTTGTATTGACAGGCATTTACCGATAATTTAGTTTTTCAAATTTAATTTGTTTAAAATTGACTTTGAAAAAATGTTAACATTTATTAAATTGTTAAGATAGGTAATTATTATAAAATAAAATAGTAACCTCTTTCCTTTAGTCCTCTTTCCTTTGGAATTTGAAAAAAAAATCGTTGTAAGGTGATTAGAAGCTGAGATAATTTTTTTTATTTATTTAATCGCAGTGACATTAATTATTAATATTAAGAGCCGAAATTTGGAGAGAGTATACATTAAGAACTATATTTTCATGTCCTACATTAACATTAAGGTAAATTCAACTATTTAATTTCGAAAAAGAAGATAGCGGCGATGCGTTCTATTACTTGGTCTAGCGAACGAGTGGGGAAGGCGAGGCTTAGCATGCGCGCTTAACGATGTAATAAATATTAACATTTCTTCAAAGTCATTTTTAAACAAATTAAATTTGAAAAATTAAATTATCAGTAAATGCATATGTCAATACAACTATTTAGGTACAAAAACAACTAATGATCGAAACCCTACAACACCTGTTAGATTGGAAAAAATGAATTGAAAATAGCATCTTCTTAGATAACAAATTCCGCCCACGCCAAGCTAATGAAGTTTTTGGACTGAAATTTTTATCACTTATTAAGGGTGCAAAAAGCTTCAAAAATCCTGAATTACAAGTGTCTGCGAAGAAAATTGCATTAATTATTAGCAATTGAAAAAAGCGGGCAATTTCGACCATTTTTGAGCTCTTGCGCATAAACAAATTATCGGAATTTAATCGGACTTGTCTTATTTTACAGATTTATTTAATACCTACCTTTTTTGTATAAACCTTTTTTCCTTTATGAATAACAGTTTTTTTACGCCGAGTCGAAAAAACACTTTTCCATAATTTTGACCATTGTTTTAACAAAGTTTCCCAACTAGTCTCGAGTTGATTTTTTGATATTTTGTTTATAACACATTTCTGAACAATATTCCGCAGAGAAACTTCTAATAGTATTTTTTCCCGAAAAAAAGCTATAATGATTGGCCTAAGAGTCAAACCAGCATTCATATTAGCAGATAATATAGAAAACACTAACAAAAATGTTAAAATTAAAGAAAGCAACAAAAAAAGAGTGTCTTTTGCAATAAATATTACAAGTAACTAGGTACTATTATTTTTTTATTGAAAGAGGGGGTATATGTAGTGGCAGTTTCATCCACATACTTCAAGATCTACGTCTAGAAGTCTTAAGAAATAGATCAGGACGGCGCGTATATTTTGGTAGTTAAGAAAATGTTATAAATAAATATATGTATAAAAATATATATCTGTGAATACATGTTACATATACAAAAAGCCATTTAACATTAAACTGTATTTCTACAAAATAAACCTTAAAGAAGGTATTATTATTTAATTTGAAGCGACTACATTATAACAAGAAAAAATAGTAAGACCCCCACAATTTGTAATTCCTTTTTGAGTAAAACAAGCTTTTATCAGTAAAAAGGATTTTATAAAAATTTCCTATTGAATAAAATGGCAGATCATTTGCAGAGCCAAATGTAATATTTGTACCTACATTTTTTTTCGAGTATTCTGTTCAGCACTCCTGAATCCTGTCATCTCTGTTGAGCTACTATGCTCCTTGTGTAGTGTACAAGACCTTCTTGTGAGTATTTATGACACTTCTATGTCTCTGATTTGGAAATGTTTTGATAATTTATCAAATGCAAATTGAAGCACTTGCTATTTTTGATTTCGTAAGATCGTGATTTAACTGATGGGTCTTAAGACTGTCCTTATATTTGGTCTTAAACTTACAGCAATTGCACTTGTATGTTGACACTTCTGAAGGGCCTGCGTGTTGCAACCGGTGTCGCGCGAGACTCGCCTTATATTTGCTCAAAAAGCCACACAAATCACACTTGTACATTGGCACTCCTGAATGTTTCAACTGGTGGACATTAAAGTGATTCTTCTTGTTGGTCTTATAATCACATGAATCACATTTGTATATTTGTATGGGCGAGGAGTCTTTGTGTGCTACCTGGTGGCACACAAAATCTTTCTTGATTTTGGTTTTGTAATCACAACTATCACATCTGTAAATTTCTGGAGAGTCCGTGTGCCTTAAGCGGTGGGTGTTAAGATTGCCCTTATATTTAGACTTATAATCACACAAATCACACACATACCACTCTACCTCTGAAGGGTTTTCATGTCTCAATTTGTGAGGCTCCAGTCTGATTTTAGTTTTAGTCATGAAATCACACACATCACACCTGTACAACTGTACGTTTGACTGGTGATGGAACAGATGGAGATAAAACGCCTTCCTATTTTTTGATATATAATCACAGGAATCACAGGTATAAATTCGCGTTTTTGATGGGGTCGTGTGTTTCAACAGGTGGGCCTCAAGATTTTCTTTGCATTTGCTAGTAAAGCCACACAAGTGACATGCGTAGAAAAGTGGCTTTGAAGGATCAGCATGTCTTCTCAATTGATGACGGTAGAGACTGTCTTTATATTTGGACTTAAAATCACACATATCACACTGGTACATTGGTACCTGTGAAATATCGGCGTGTTTTAACTGGTGCAACTTGAGATTGCTTTTATATTTAGTTTTATAATCACACAAATCACACGTGTACATGCACACTTTCGAATGTCTCAACTGATGGATCTGAAGTTTGTACTTAGTTTTGATTGTTTCATCACACAAATTACACTTGTACATTTCCACTTTTGAATTATTCGAGTGTTTCTCCTGATGATGCTTAAGGTTGTTCTTATGCTTGAACCTAAAATCACACAAATGACATATGTACACACAACTATTTGTATCTTTATAAATAGCATCCTTCTCGAGTTTTTCAAAGAATCTCTCAGGTGCTCGCTTGTTTTCTTCTGTTTCGGAAATATTTTCGGGTTTTAATCCTTGGGATGAAATATCCGATGGTCTGCAATTAAAAAATATTATGTCCGATGAGTATGGCTGAATCAAATTTTGTATGCAAGGTATCCCACGTAAAGCGGTTGACACCATTCTCTTTCTCAGACAGTCATTGTCTGAACATTGAATGGTGGAAATTGGTGTGACTAACATTGCATAGAAAGTACTTTTTGTCAGTTCTACTTCTTGCTATGCGCATCTCAGGGATAAGAAAAGTAAATTTATTATGTGAAGAGTGATTTGGTGCAACTTTTATTTAATATATTTTTTTGTATTATTAATATAAAAAGAGTCCGTCTTACGTGAGGCATATCCTGTGCAACGACTAGTAATGTGCCCACCTATAATCATTCAAAATGAAATCAGAAATGTTTTCTGTAAATATTTATAATAACTTTCAGTAATCTCTGCATATGCAAATTAAAAAATAGTTATTAGTTATAACCCCAGAAATGGGGTTTCCATTTTTGGCCATCTACCAACCTACTGACATATCGTAAAGTGTAAAACTATTGGTCAAAATGGGTTGAACGTCAATCCCCGATGAAAAAAGCAACCACGCTTTCTTATTCCATATATATCATCTGTGGCTTAATTTTGTAGTTGTTTTATGTTGTTTTGGATTAATTTAAGAAGTCTAGCACCGATTCCGCTGATAAACAAATAAGGATAAAAGGTGAAAACATAATGTTTTGTTTAGAGTTTTGTATCTTTTTAATAACACTTGTTTCAATTTTCCTAAATGTCTGTCTACTTTTATGTTCATGCCATCGCTGGGTGCAATTGTTTACTTGGAATATGTATATTGACTGTAGTATATTTCACCTAAACTAGTTCAATGTCAAAGGTCATTGACAGATTCACAAATTAAACACAGTGCTTTGAAAAAAGTAAGTAATAAATCCTTTTTAATAAAAATTTGAAATTATTTTAAACAAAAAAAAACAGAAAACAAAATTTAAAACCTAGCAAATTCGTATTGTTATTTATTTTTCTATTAAGAACACTATAAAACAAAAATAATCAATTTAAAACATACATTAATTTTACTTATAATTAATAACATATGCTTATCTACATACATATCCACATTAATACATATTTAATGAATTATGCAAGTCATTTTATAAAAACATTAAAAATGTATTTAATATTCGGGACTTCACATTCATATAAAATATAAGATGACTTTAAAATAACAAAAGCAGTAGTAACTGGCAACACTGACACAACTTCAGTCGAAGTTCTGTCCTACGGCAGGATACACAAGAGTGCTTGTTAAAAAAAGAATTATAGCTCACCTATTTATTTCATTAAAAAAAATAATCTCAAATTACACTATATGTATTAACCACTAAAAATATGTTCCTACCACAGAATTTAATTATCTTCGGTAATTTTTCCAAGATATTTATCTCCCTAATCACCGTGTAGATTCATATTTGTATGCTGTTGCAACTGGTGGATCTTATATCCTTATATTTTGATTAAAAATCACACAAATCGCATGTGCATATTCGCACTTTTGTAGTGACCACATGTTTAACTAATGGATCTTAAGATGTTTCTTATATTGGTCATAAAATCACGTATCTCAAGAGTACATTCCCAATATTCAAGGGTCGGCGTGTTGCGACTAATATGTCTTAAGATTGTTCTTATATTTGCTTTCAAAATCATACAAATCGAATTTGTATATCCTCACTTTTGAAGGGTCGGCGTGTCTAAACTGATGAGACTTAAAACTGTCCTCATATTTGGTTGCGAAATCACACAAATCACAATTGTACAAATGCACTTCCGAAGGATCCGCGTGTTTCAACTGATGGCGGGAAATAGTGTTCTTATACTTGGACTTAAAATCGCACAAATCGCATGTGTACATTTGCACTTTTGAAGGATCTGCGTGTTTCAACTGGTGAGACTTAAGACCGTTCTTATATTTGGTCCTATAATCACACGAATCGCACTTGTACATTTCCACTTCTGAAGGGTCCGCGTGTTTCAACTGGTGAGACTTAAAACCGTTCTTATATTTGGTCCTATAATCACACAAATCGCACTTGTACATACACACATCTGAAGGATCGGCGTGTTTCAACTGATGACGGCCAAGAGTGCTTTTATACACGGTCTTAAAATCGCATAAATCACACGTGTACATCGACACTTTTGACGAGTCTTTGTGTTTTAATTGATGGGGCCTAAGTTTGTCCTTATATTTAGTTTTAAAATCACACAAATTACATTTGTACATTTTCACTTTTAAAGGGTCCGCATGTTTCAACTGGTGGCGGGAAATAGTGTTCTTATACTTGGACTTAAAATCGCACAAATTGCATGTGTACATTTGCACTTCTGAAGGGTTGGCATGCTTCAACTGATGACGAGAAATAGTATCCTTATAATTGGACTCAAAATCACACAAATCACACTTGTACATTGGCAATTTTAAAGGGTCTGCGTGTTTCAACTGGTGTGGTTTAAGTTTATACTTATATTTGGTTGTAAAATCACACAAATCACACGTGTACATTTGCACTACTGAGGAGTCTGCGTGGCTTAACTGGTGCGACCTAAGGCTGGTCCTATATTTGCTTTTGAAATTACACAAATAACATTTGTACATACGCACTTCCGAAGGATCCGCATGTTTCAATTGGTGGGGCCTAAGTCTGTACTTATTTATGGTAGTAAAGTCACACAAGTCACACTTGTACATTTCCGCTTTTGAAGGATCTGCATGTTTCATCTGGTGGAGCTTAAGATTGTTTTTATATTTAGACTTATAATCACACAAATCACACATGTACAGTCGAGCTTCTAAGTGCATGCCCGTGTTCTTTAAAATTATTTTCCGCCCGAGTTTCTTTAAGCGTTTCGCAGGCACTCGCTGGTTTTCTGTTGTTTCAGGGATTTCTTCAAGTTCTAATTTTTGGGATGAAATATTCCAAGGTCCACTACTGAAAAAATATCTTATAGGTGTGATTGATCGAAATTTTGTCTATGGGTAGTAATGGGCCCACTTACATTTAAAAATTTAAATTATAAATGTTTTATTTATTTTATTTATGTCAAACAATATGGTCTAAAAATAAGCCATCTTAGTAAGGTCCACAGACCCAACCAAAAGCAAGTTTCAGAATAAGGACCCTCTACTTTGGTCAAGAATTTTAAGTTACTGGTTTTATATGGCTGACAGTCTATGCAGGGTGTTTTTTAAATTGGGTTTTTCATTTTATTCCAACCTAGAACTCAACAAAGCAAATTTTTCAATTTCTTCCATTTGAAATAATTCTTTGGAAGTAGTTATCACAGTAACTAGATTATTATAGTGTGTAGTGATAATATGGGTTTTAAAAAATACACTACAGAATTTAGTGTTTAAAATGGCGCACATTTATGGTAGTGATCAATTAATGGATGGTATTAGTATAAGGGAAGTGTCGTCAAAATGTTGCCATAGCATCGTTATTGCATGCAGACTGATTTCATCAGCGATATCATCTCGTCGATCATAAGTTTCTTTATGTTGTTCGAAGGGCTTGAGGCACGGGACACATACACGAAAATTGTGGTGGACAAGCTAGGAAATCTTGGCCACCTAAAATGCTGCAGGCGGAAGATATTTTAGATATCGTTAAAGAAGATCCAACTAGTACCAGACATATTGCACATCGAGTCAAATATACTACCTCGTGAAAATCAACTATATATCAAGTGCAGCAAGTTCAAGTTTTAATGTCTGAAGACAGTCCCAAAAGTATACAATTGTTCGAATGTTTTTTTCAGCAAAACAGTTCTACTAATGCATAGAAGGAAATGGGAGACAATTTCAGTATCTACTGTAGTATTTCGAGTTTGCACATTTATTTAATTGTGCAGCTGTTTTGTTTTGTATGTCTCCGAGTCTGTTTCCTAATATTTTTCTGTTTTTATCACTTTTTTTAAGAATTCATGTCCATCAAACAATTCAGTCCATTCAACAATAGTTTATTTTAGTAATGGTAGTGTAGTAGTTTACAAAATCTAAAATTAGTTAATAATAGATAATTAATTACCATAATCTGTTTATTTTGATTTACTTTTTTAAATGTTAGTTTACAACAAACTGAAACTTAAATGCAAATACTGTTGGTAGCGAAATGTATTCAGCTCATTCAATGGTAAGGTGGAAAATGGTACATGCTACCGAATTTCAAGAAGTATACCTTTTTTTGCAGTATCCTTTAGAGCAGGGGTTCTCAAACTGCGGTACGCAAAAATTTTTAGGAGGTACGCGGGGCAGGTTAATGAAAAACGAAACCATTTTTATTTCTTTCCATTTCGTAATCACACAAGATTATAATTTAATAATGGAATCTAATTGAATACTTGTGTGGTACTTCTCATTAATTTTTTGTAATGCGTTTCAAATCTTTGAAATAGATTGAGAACCCCTGCTTTAGAGTTTACAGAACAGTTTAGAAATGTAATAAATTTTGATTTTTAAGAAATTTTTTTCTTCGAGTGTACCACTTCAAGTTCCTGCAACCGTCTCCACATTATTCTTAACGCACAGTTGATGAATGAATTTAATTTTGACATTTTTATCTTCAGCCGATTTAAAGATAATTAAGGATATAATTAAGGATAACCATTTGGAAAGTAACAATTTCAACACACTGTATCTCGAAAACAGGGCATCTAAGAAAAAAACGTCACATGAACTACTCACATTATTTTCCCATGAGGAACTTGCACACAAGTTTTTTTGAAACATGAACCGGACACCCTGTATATATATTTCCTTTTTTCTTTTTTCTTATGGGCGCCGTATTTAATTTTAAGCTAAACAAATAGATCGTTTTTTTGGCTTTTCAATGATAAAATATAAGAATGAAACCATTTCAAAAACAATCTAGAAAATCAATATTTTAGTAGGTATTTTTAATATATTGTTATAAAAGCTTATCATTAATGTCATGGCGTTGAGTGAAAAAATTACGCTTTGCGTTATTCCAAAGAAGAAAAATGTGATATGCTTTGGCTTTAAACAGTTATATTGGAAATTATCCCGAAAGAACCGCCAAATGAAATACATTTTTCTAAATTTATTACAAATTTGAGAATATTTGAAAGTTTTGAAAAGCTACAAGCTAAGAACTATGATATAGTTAATAGTAACTAGGTAAATCAAATAATAAATTATTTCAACAACAATCCAATCATCAACACCACTATGTAATAAATAAATAAATATTATTCTACTAAATGCTGTACATTTTTGTGGCTATGCAAGATAGGCACCTTTGTGAAATATTATTTGTCACTCGCCAAATGGTAGGTATTCCTAATAATATTTGCAAATACTTGTCGAGCTCTTTCTTCCAGAATTTCCACAGTTGCTTTTTTATTATTTTTAGTCAGGCTCTACAACATATCACATGTTTCTTGATTGGAATAATGCAAAGCATAATTTTTCCACTCAACCCCCATGAGGCAATTCTATAATAGTTTCGAAAAATTATGCGAGGTTGCCAGATTTAATAGAAATATTAAAATATTGATTTTTGAGGTTGTTTTTGAAGTTTTTTCATACTTATATCATGGAATAAAAAGGAAGATATTTTTTCTATCGAAAATACGAACCGAAATCAAATCTNCGTAATCAAGATATAACTGGCATCTTCTAAATACTGCATGGGTCGGATTCATTACAAAATTGGGGGGTATTTCACGACAAGCACATATAATTCTTTGCCTAAGAATCTCTTCATTTTCTGGCCGTGTTAAATAAACATGATCTTGAATATAACCCCATTTGACAAAAAAAAGTCCACTATCGCTTTCCAAAAAAATAATATTAAATACGCTTCAATAGGCTCCCTTTATAGTGTATTTAGACCCTCGTCATATAATTTTTTGTTTTTTTAAAATCAGACTATAAATGACGGAGTTAGGCTTGGAGCGTTTTCTAGGAGACAACCTGTATGATATTTTCGAGATTTTAGTAAATTTGAAAATTAACTTTTACTCACTGTTACTTTCCACCTGAGTGAAAAATTGTCACTTTCATTCCAGATGAAAAGTAAAACTCTTCATCAATATTTTATTATTTTGTTGCCTTCATTCAAAAGGAGAAAAGGAACCTAATGACTCTATTAAACTAATTACATTGTGTCAAATTGTTCTTTAAAAACAACAAATATTCATAACTGTTCCCATAATTTTAACTTGTCTTTAAATTCTCATACCTATATCACAAGGTATTAAAGCTAATATGAACTCAATTAAAATTAATAGTAAATTAAGTTACATTAGAAAAAAAACAGCAACAATGGGATGTTTGCCACCTTTCAGGTATTAGCATAAAATGGTATAATTAATGACAAAAAGCATGATTACTGAACTGTATTTTTTAATTTTCGAAAGAAATTATTCTACTAGGACTGAATTAATTTTGAGGGATTTACAGTAGAGGGAGTAACTTATGCTATAAGGCATCGGACACTTCTGTAACTATATTCATGTCAAAGCTCTGTCATTAAGATTTATTTTTTATTATGCTTTGTTATTTATTATCACATAACAGTTTCCAAATGTTTAAATGCACTCAGTATGATTCAAAAGCAAGGAAATTGGGTGCCATATAAATTGAAGCCGAGACATGTTGAACGGCTATTTTCCACATGTGAACAATGACTTCAAAGGCAAAAAAGAAAGGATTATTTGCATCGTTTTACCACTGGCAATGAAAAAGGGATACGCACAGATAATAGTGAGGTTTGCCTGATCATATAAGACCATGGTAAATAATTCACATTAACCTAATCATTTTGTAAACACTTTCTAAAAGTATTTTGTTTTATATACAATTTTGTTCTATTTAATAACCAGTTATTAATTCGATTTGCTAGGAGGCCGTCTGAAAAAGCATTTCCTTAATAAAAAAAATAGTAAGATCTTTCTATCGTGGCTATTTTTACGTGTCAGTTTTAGTCGAGGGTGATGTTAAAACAACAAGAATACAAAGATATTCTTTCAAAGATTTTTGTGACCTTTTTACCGAACCACTTTTATGTAAAAACAATTGTTTTATTAGAAAATAAAAAAAATACGTACTACCAGAAATATGTATGTAGCCGAAAACTTAAAGCCTCTACAGAATGAAGCAGTAAGTACTCGAGACAGATGACGTAATTTCAATAAGAACTGAACTCAACTGATACTTATCTATAAAAAACTATATTCTAAGCCATAATAATGTAACTAAAATTAAAAGGTTTAATTAAATTTTCCTAAGCACCTTGCTACGCGAAAATATATACTTATTTTAAATTTTGTCTTATTATATATTTATTTCCATATTCTGTTTTGATACATAGCAACAGCCAAAACGAAGTGTGAAATATTATATAAAAATTATTTTCCACTACAAGACAGAAAAGCTAAATAATCAACTAACTTTGCCCCCATTAAGTATAATTGCTGTTTAGTAGTACCTTACATGAGTATTACCTTACGAGTTATATTTTCTTGCAAAATTTTTTACTTTTAAATTTTCATAGGTGGGCCCATTCCACAATAATTGAATTATCAGTTTAAAAATGCCACCTTTGGACAGTTTTGAATGGCTTACCTCTCATCTTCCAATTTTATTTCCTCAAGCTCGATTTTATTCAATTTCACATCTTCACATATCGGTATGGTAGGATAAACTTCAAGCAATTCTTCTTCCTGCTCCATTCGTTCAGATTTTATTTCAATCTCAGTTTTTATGTATATTGATGGAGTTATCTGAGGCTGACCCTCAGAGATAGCTTTATAACTGTCGACTTTTTCCTCTACCTCTAAATGGTTCTTTATAAAACTGCTGCGAGTACCATGAGAACCAGTACATTGTCTACAAAGATCGGGATCTTCGACTACACTGGGGTTCTACAAAATGCAATTATTAATAGTTTGTTCAGAATAGAAGAGTAGCACAAGTCTTACCATGTCTGTTCCTTCTTCAAAATGTTCATCCCTTATGATCCCGAGACATAGCTTACAATGCTGCTCCCTTCGTTCAGATTTTATTTCATTCTCCTCAGTTTTTATGTATAAATCTATTGATGGAGTTATCTGAGGCTGACCCTCAGAGACAGCTTTATAACTGCCAACTGTTTGCTCTACCTCTAAATGGTTCTTTATAAAACTGCTGTGGGTACCACGAGAACCAGTACATTGTCTACAAAGATCGGGATCTTCGACTACACTGGGGTTCTACAAAACGCAATTATGAAAATAGTTTGTTCAGAATAGAAAAGTAGCACAAGTCTTACCATGTCTTTTACTTCTTCAAAATATTCATCCCTTATGAGCCCGAGACATAGCTTACAATGCTGCTCCCCAAAATTATTCATTTATAGTTTATTTTAAATTATAACACAAAAATTACAAATAGTAAGTTTTCCTTTGAACTGGATATCTCACTTTCTCGTTCTTAATTATATTAAGTTAAATAATAAAAAATTAAAGTAAATTGTTTTCTACGAGTTAAATGATAAATGTCAAATTTATGTCCATTCGACCCACAGACCTTAGAAACTCAGCGTAGACTACAGACATTGGCCTTATCCTTAGAATTATTAAAGTACGTATTATACTTAACCTAACCTGATACATAAACTGCTTTTTTCGTGTATACTATTATGCGGAGTTCACAGAATTTTGATTGTTGCGTGATGCATCTAATCCAACCAATCATCGAGCTGTACTCCCCTCGTACCCCATTTTTCCGTCGGGCCGTACTTCCGCTTGAAGTTAAAATTATTTTAATTACATTTATGTGTAACGGCTACATTTTTCGAAAGTAAGGTTAAATTAAAAATATTAAACAAGTATTATTGAACTTATACTTTTTAATATTTTGATGATATGACCTACAAATACTTTATAAAAATAGTTTAGTCTAGAAGACATAAATTTTCAGCTTCCATAAAAATGTCTAGTTATTAATTCTACACTTTTAGGATCAAGTATTGGGTACAGCACATAAAAAATAATTATCCAAACAAAATTACTAAAACACACTATTATTTATAATTATGTATTCGTTTATATTTTTTTATTGACATTTTTGAAAAACTGTTGATACATTTGTACAGTTTGTTTGAACTAGTCATCTTATTGTTATTAATTTAATTAACTAAATGTTACCTTTATACATTTAGGACTATAGCACGCTCGATATCGATTACATTTTTAATTGTCGCTCTACAGTTGAAAAATTGGTGGTGGGGATCTATAGCGCGCCACAGTCACAGTCCTGTGAACTCAGCATTAGTTTACAAACTGCCCAGTGCCCAATAAAGCAGAGTTTAGATCCGTTTAGATCTATTCTATTTGGAAAGAAACTACAATCGGTCTTCTGCTTCTTCTCATTAATCCACTAAACAACAAATTCGGGAAAACAGACAGCCAAGAGATGGCGCTGTTGTTTATGTTCGAATAATAGAATAAATTTGAACATTCGTGGATGAGATTTGTATTTCATATTCCTAATTCCTATTTTGTAACGTTTTATCACAATTTTTATTATGACCTTTAGTGCCTGTATTTATTTAAAATGTCATTACGGACGTAAGAAATTTCGGTGTCGAATTAAATTTTCTTGGTTCTTTTTTCATATCAAAAAAGCAGTAAGTAATAATGAAACCAAATTGAGTACATCTTATAGCAACACAATGTTGTTTAAAAATGACCTACAAACAATTTACTACAAGCACCACTGTCATAGAAGGCAGGTAATTAATGCCCGCTTTTGAAAACAAAGGTTCCGAATAATTGCTGAAACCCTTTAAGTGCAAATTGATTACACAAAATTTCAGTTGAATCAAAAAATGTTTATTACTATTTTTATAAAGAGGAAGAATTTGTTATGATATTATCTACTTGAAAACAAACAATAATTACAGAGGAACACAATAGTAAGCAGAAATTAAAGATTTTAAAATTGAAAGCGCTTCTATTCGACAAAAAACTAGCATCTACACAATAGTAATCTTCTTGGGTTTGATATTTGAAATGCTTTGTACTAGTTCATCCCTGGCATTTACTGGAGAAGAGTATACCTGCTGCTTCTTATGACCAGACAATGTAATCAAGGGGACTAATGCTGACTGACTGGAGAGGTCATGATACAGGACCATCTCTGCCTGTCCGTTTATCTGGATGGTTGCTATTTAAGCAGTTTAAATGGTAATGAGCACAGCAACCGTCTAACGGAAAATAAGAATCTCTCTTTTATCTAAAAAGTCGTTTTCTATAAAATTGCCACGATTTGCTTTTACAAATGTCAGAAACCATTTAATTTTTTGGGAAAGATATACGGACCCAAAAGAATATTTTGTATATGCATCCACAGGTTTACCTTAAATTCTTTTTGAAAGCTTTTAAGCGAGGGGCGATCCGCTGATGTAATCTTCGTACGTTTGCCCTGGAATCTTTATGTAATCTACATAATCTTATCTGTAATCTATGTAATCTATCTGTAATCTACGTAATCTTATCTCTAATCCTCGCTGTAATCTATGTAATCAGCTAATGAATTTCGTCGATGTAGTCGTTATACAACGCCCCTCCCCCTACCTCATTTTCCAAAGAATGCCACAGAAACCTCGACAGAAACCTATATGGTGTGATTGGTGTATTCCGAAGGGCAATCCGCCAAGGAAAAAACAGATGAAGATTACAAAATTTCTGAAATGTCTTGTAATGTATCTGCAGATTTCAATATCAATTCAGGAGATTTCAATTATTTTAGTAGATTTCAATGATTACTTAAGATTTCAATAGGATTATTAGAAATTAAAAGAAGATTTCAAAATTTCTTAATAAGGTTTCAAGGAATACGGGAAGATTACAATAAGTTTTGAATGTCCATTTGAACAAAAATAATTGAATTAACTTCAAAAGTCAATCATTTCATTCATTAACAGTAGTACTTTGATTAAGAATTTCCAGTATCAGGCATTTTTTGAGCAAAAATTGTAACATTCTGATTAAGTTTTTTGTTCGAATGAACGTTAAAAACTTTTTGTCATGACAAAAATGATAATGCTATTTTGAAAGTAGGTAAGTATTTTTCCCAAAAACTAATAAATAAATAATATATTAAGCTTTTATTAATACTTGCATTTAATACTTTACTTGTATACAGTGTGTTTAAAAAAGACGCGGAAATATTTAAGGGAGTGATTAGGTCAGTTTATACAAAAAGGTCCTATAAACATAGGTCCGCAAACGCATCGTTACCGATCTACAGAATGTGAAATTTCATTAAAAAACAGAAAAAATTAAATTTCTCTAAAACGCAGCCCCTTATTATTACCTACTACAAACAACAGTAGGTATGTACCACATTTCAAAAATCAATCAAATTTGATAATTTGAATTTCTTTGTTCAATAATTTAAATTTCTCAATTAAAACAACATTGGGTTTAGGTGCGCAATAAAATGTTTATTTTTTTACTCAATAACGGTGTGACGTACGGTGCGTACAACCTGAGGAAAGCTTTCTTCTTCATAATTGAACAAGGAATTAAAAAATTATATTTTTAGAAAAACCAGCGGGGTCCTATTTTTTTCATTAAAAATAGCTAGTCACTGGTAAGACTAAAAAATCGTTTTGTATTGCAAAGTACGCGTCTGCCATAGCTATTGACAGGCCTAAAATTTCATTATAATATCAAGAGGTTTTGGAGAAATTTAATTTTTACTGTTTTTTTAATGAAATTTCAACATTCTGTAGATCGGTAACGAAGCGTTTGCGGACGTATGTTTATAGGAACTTTTTTTTATAAAATGATCTGGGCAATCGCCCCCTTAAATATTGCCGCGTCTTTTTTAAATACACTGTATACAGGTAAAGTATTAAATACAAGTGTTAATAAAAGCTTAAAATATTTCTTATTATTTATTTTTTGGGAAAATGTTTATTTTATGTTACTTCTATTTTTTTATTTTTATTAGTTTATTGGATTATTATATTTTTATCTTTCAATAAAAATATATACTTACCTACTTTCAAAATGGCGTTATCATTTTTGTCATGACAAAAAGTTTTTAACGTTCATTCGAACAAAAACTTAATCAGAATGTTACAATTTTTGCGTAAAAATGATACTGGAAATTCTTAATCAAAGCACTACTGTTAATGAATGAAATGAATGACAGTTGAAGTTAATTCAATTATTTTTGTTCAAATGGACATTCAAAACTTATTGTAATCTTCCCGTATTCCTTGAAATATTATTAAGAAATTTTGAAATCTTCTTTTAATTTCGAATAATCCTATTGAAATCTTAAATAATCATTGAAATCTACTAAAATAACTCTGAAATCTCCTGAAATATTTTGTAATCGGTTGAAAGATATTGTAATCTTGATTATTTATACGAAATTTGTAATTTTTTTTTAATCGATATTGAAATCTGCAGATACATTACAAGAGATTTCAGAAATTTTGTAATCTTCGTTCGTTTTTTCCTTAGCGGATCGCCCCTCGCTTTTAAGTACTTCGGCTAATTTGAGAATTTTTGTTGGCCAAAATATATAGATTATAAAAATTCTTAGTGCCTTTTTTTGTAAAACATAATTCATCCGTCCACAAAACGTTATTAATAATGCCTGGAATGACCTCGCTCTAGCTAACAGCCAGTTACAGGATTCAATGAGGCATACAAGAAAAGTAAATGCTTTTTTGTCCTTTCGGGTAACTAATACAAAGAAATATTATTAGAACAAAGAAATTTGTATTATGTTTTAAACTTTTGAATAGAAGTAATATATATATAAGTTTTAATTGATAATGTATAGGTATTTATTGAATTAGTAAAAGGCTATACCTGTAGTGACAATATAAAAGAATTGCATTAAGTAGGGGATATTTATATTGTGACTAAATTTCATGCATGAAATCGCCATGTTTTCAGTTTTTCTATGTGATCTTCGATACCTATACATTTTTGTTATTGAGTTACTGTTTGTTGTTTGTTATGATTCACTTTTATTTTAAAAATTAACAACCTTATATTATATTTAGCTAATTAACCAACTTATTGTAAACTGTAAATCGGTACTACCAAAGAAGTATATTATAACAAACCCTTGAAGATTTTAATCAACCTAAACCTTCAATCTCAATAGAAAAACATGTAAAATATCCCTCTATATCTTTTATCTTTTCAAAATGTTCATCACTTATGGCACTGAAGCAGATCTTGTATTACCTTTCTCTAAATACCCTATTTCATCAATTTATGGGTGGGTGATCTTTACACTTTAAATAATGTTGATTTTCCATGCATAACCTCAAATGTCAATGTCAAAATGATCAAAACTGGTTAAAATAAAACCATAAAACTGACAAAAACAACGAGCGACATGCAACTGCAACATGGCAATAGTTAATTGGTATGGGTGAACGACTGGCGTAATCCGTAACAATCTGAAATGATCTAACTTACTCTGAATTTCTTAATGAGATAAGGGACACATTTTGAAAAACGTAT